TAGAATAATTCTAGAATTTTTGAATTGGGGTTAATAGAGGCTAAAAAAACGACAGTAAACTAATCTAAACTCTTGTACAATAAAGCACTTTTGATTAACTTTTTTTTTCAATCTTATTTATAGACTAAATGATCGGCTTAATTTGATTAAATCAAAGTAATAATTGACACAAAAATCTATAAAAAAACAAAGGCTAATGTTTGTTTTTTTAAAAGTTTATTTTCACAAAAAACAAAATGACCAAAAAGAAGCTTTTTTTTGAGGAGTGTCGAGCCGCTTTATGCGCTTTTTTTTGAGAGCCAGTGGTTTAGGAAAAAAAGGCTCTCGAACGGAAATTGGATCAGAAAAAGTGGGGGTCAAAAAAAAGGAAATCGGAAAAAGAAAAGGAAAAGATGAAGAAAATGGGAAAACGAATGGAAGAGGAAGGAGAAGAGAGGGAAAGGGAAGATGAAGGGCCCATAGGGGACACTCTGGGGAGAAGAGAATCGCTGTTGCATAGTGGTGGAAGAACTAATCTAAAGTCTACGAACTCTAGAACTCTTGGACTCTAGGACTCTTGGACTCTAGGAGTCTAGAATTCTAGAACTCTAGAACTCTGGGACTCTAGGACTCTAGGACTCTCTAGCTTTGCTAAGAGACATCTAAACTACCGTAATCCTTCGTCAGTTCGGCTAAGGCAAAGTGAGGCAACCGTAATCGAACTCAAACTGAGCTCTGACTTGACCAATGTTATTATCATCAGCTTAAACTAGAAGCCTTGGATTTCCCTTCAGACCTTTAGAGCTAGTTTCAGACCAGTTCAAGCATCAATCATAATCGAGATCTGGTTTCTAGTTGATCGAATCAGGATTCCAGCCAGCCAGGCCCAAGCCAGCCAAATCTCTCCATTAACTCAAAAAGCAAGACAAATCAATTCTTTAACTCTTTAGATTTTAGATAAAGTTTCAGAAATTATATAATCCATTGAAGTTATCTAAAAGAAAACTAGAAAAAGCTTGATAAAGGCCATGGAGAAAAGGGAAAAGATTCAAGAAAGAGAAAAAGAAAGCCATTTTTCCTTTCCCCCCCCCTTCTTTTTCTTTTGGTGACACAAAGGACCAGGCCCTACCAGCCAATTTTTTTTCTTTTTCTCTTCTTTTAGCCTTCTTTAGCTCCTTTTCTATACATAACAATTTGCAAGAAATTCTTTTGGTCTAGGGAAAATGATCTTGAAGCTAGTTTTGTTTTGTTTTGTTTGGTGCTAGTTCTAACAGCCAAACTATTCTAGTTCTAACAGGCAAACTAGTTTTAACAGCCAAAATTCTTTTGGCCTAGGGAAAATGATCTTGAAGCTAGTTTTGTTTTCTTTTGTTTGGTGCTAGTTCTAACAGCCAAAATAGTCAAACTTCTATAGTCAAAGAATTATAGAAAAATATCGAAAGATGAAAAATTCATTTAGATTATAGAAAAACGAGCCAAAAACCTCTAGGTACTTTTGAAATTTTTGAGAATTTATACTCTAAATGTATGCTTAAACTGTGAGTAAAAAGCTTAAAGGCTTAAAAGATCTAAGAGCTAGTTGGGCAAAAGTTATCAATAATTTCGAAAATGTTCAAGCTTTTACTTTAAAACAATCTGTAAAGCTAAAAAAAAGCCGTAAAAACTAACTTTTTCTATCAATTTTCCCATCGTTTACATCCTTTTTTTTGAGCTTTTTTCGGGAGTGAAAGTGAGAAAAAAAGTAATGTGTTCGGTTGTTGAAAGGAAAAAAAGGGATATAAATAATTCATAGCTGAAAAAAAGAGCTCTTTTCTCAGCTATGAGATGAATTATTGGACTAGGAAAATATTGGAAAGCAAAAGGTTTTTTGGAAATCTCAATTTTGCTTAAAAACGAGAATTTCCTAGCGAATTGTATTGTGTGAATTCCAGATTGAAAAAAATGACAAAAGAAAATTTTCAGTTAAGCTTTAAAATTGAAAAATTTGGAAGAAAAAGAATTTTGGAAATTTCAATTTCGTTTAAAAATAAGCTTTTAATAGAAATTTCTATAGTGTGCCTTCCAGATTGAAAAAAATGAAAAAAGAAAATTTTCATTTACGCTTTGAAATTGAAGAATTCGAAAGGAAAAGAATTTTGAAAATTTCACTTTCGCTTAAAACCGAGAATTTCCTAGCGAATTGTATTGTGTGGCTTCCAGATTGAAAAGTACTAAAAGAAAAATGAGATAGATGATGTGAAAAGCTATAAAAGGTGCATGAAATCAAATTTATGCTTAAAATGTGAGCATCAATTGTAAGTAAGGGGTTGGAATAAGGTTTTAAAAAGGTTAAATGAAAGATAAAGAGAAAGGTTATCGATTTTTTAGCTTATTTTTCAGTTGTTTCAAGAGCTAGGAGGTCAAATTAGATCAAATTTTTCGAAAATTTCCATTCTTTTGCTTTAAAACCCTTCAAAAACCTAAAAAATACAATAAAAACGAACTTTTCAAAGGAAAAAATCTTTCTTTGAGCTTTTTCGGGAGTAAAAGTGAGAAAAAAAGTAATGAGAAGTTATTGAGAAGAAAAAGAAAAGAAATAAATAATTAATTGCTAAAAAAAGAGCTCTTAAACCACGAGAATTATTGGAAAAAATTGGAAAAAACAATTTTTTAAAAATTTCAATCAAAAATGAGTTTTTACTATAGTGTGAATTCCAGATTGAAAAAAAGTGGGGGAAAAAAAATTTCAATTTCGCTTTAAAACGAGAATTTCCTAGCGAATTGGATTTGGTGAGTTCCAGATTGAAAATTTGCATCAAAAAAAGACAACAAATGATGATTTTCGAAAAGATTTTAAAGCCAACCCTTTTCAGCTGTGTACTTTCAAGCTGTGTTCAGCTTTTTCGAGTTTTAACCAAATCCAATTCGCATTTATGGCTCATTTTGAATTGATTTACGAGAAAAAGCTTTTTTTTTAGGGTAATTGAATTGAATTTTATTCGTTTAAGCAAGAAAATTCAAGTTTTTTTAGTGATTGAGTTGATCATTTTTTTCATTTTCATTCGATTTTCATCATTTTTTCGTCTTGTATTAGACTTTTCTTTGTATTTTGTGGTTAGAAATCGTAAACACACCCTTTCTAGTGCACTTAGAGTCCGTTTATTGGTCTTTTTCATAGAGAAAATTAAAGAATTGAATGTTCTAGAATTGAATGTTCTAGAATTGAATGTTCTAGATGCGTTAAAAAGAAGCTCAAAGTAGAATGAAAGTGGGAAAGATTGGGTATTTGAATCGGCTATTATTATTTTCTTTTTTTTCTAGCCAAAAGCTGTGCTAATCTAGTCTATTTGCACAAAAGGATTAGCCCATTTCTCTCTTGAATCCTATTATATTACTATTTTGCACCTCTACAGCTAATATTTTGGTCCTAAAATCGATCAAAATCCATCAAAATCAACCAAAATCAAGAAAAGAATCAAAAATCTAACTTCCGTATATCAAAAGCTCTCCGCTATTGAGCTCTAAACGAAAATATTCTTTGCAAGTAGAGCAACAAGTAGAGCAACAAGTAGAGCAACAAGTAGAGCAACAACAAGTAGAGCAACAAGTAGAGCAACAAGTAGAGCAACAAGTAGAGCAACAAGTAGAGCAACAAGTAGAGCAACAACAAGTAGAGCAACAAGTAGAGCAACAAGTAGAGCAACAAGTAGAGCAACAAGTAGAGCAACAAGTAGAGCAACAACAAGTAGAGCAACAAGTAGAGCAACAAGTAGAGCAACAAGTAGAGCAACAAGTAGAGCAACAAGTAGAGCAACAAGTAGAGCAACAAGTAGAGCAACAAGTAGAGCAACAAGTAGAGCAACAAGTAGAGCAACAAGTAGAGCAACAAGTAGAGCAACAAGTAGAGCAGCAACAAGTAGAGCAACAACAAGTAGAGCAACAAGTAGAGCAACAAGTAGAGCAACAACAAGTAGAGCAACAACAAGTAGAGCAACAACAAGTAGTAGCAACAACAAGTAGTAGCAACAATTTGCGCGATTCCTTGGGCTTGTTTACTAAGACGCCTTGGCAATTGAGACACTTCCGGTTCATCCATAGCAATTTCCGCTCCGATAGCCACTTGTCAAACTCATCATCGGTCTTAGCTTCGAGCTTTGGCCACTCAGTAAAAAGATTAAACAATTTAAGATCCAACCTATTAGCTGCAGCTATTCCCGCCATCTAAAAAACTATCTAAAAAAGAAAATGAGAAATAGCAAACAAGAGAACATAGGAAAACAAGAAGAAATAAGCCGCAAATAGGCTTTAAAAATATCAACAATCGAATCAGCGTACCAGAAAATCCTAGGAACGCTTTTTTGGAAAGTGTCAGAGGCATTTTGGAAGCTTGAAAGTTTTTTGAAAGAGATTTCGTTTAAAAAATGTGTTAGCCAAGAGATGTTGTGGTAGAAAAATATAAGAAAAGATTGTTCTTAAACATTTTAGAATAAAAACTCAATAACCCACGTCTTCCAAAATGCTTGCTCTTGAGTGGCAACTCGTAATTTGGTCGGTGTGTTCCATCCGGGCAATTGCACAGCTCTTTCAGTCCCACTCTATTGACGTTTTGAATTTTGAAATCATTTTGAAAAAAAGTGGGGAAAAAAAAATAATAATCTCAGTTCATAATGAATCCCAGAATAGAGGATGTGCTTAGAATCCTCAATTAGAACTCAAAATCCTCAAAGTATCATGATCATTAGGATACATTGACGATCTAAACTCTCTAGTTGATGCAAATGGTTGTCGATTCTCTTTTTATCAACGTTTTCTGATCTTCTGATCAATTTCAAGCTTTGGTTTCAAGCTTTCAAGCACTTTGCAAGCTTTTGAGTGTTCGATTCAAGTCAATTTCAATTCCTCAATGCGAAATTTTAAACGGGCATCATTTTTTTCCTAAATAGTTTCCAAAAAACGAATTTCGCAATCTAAAAAGTCTCTTAATTACAGTTTTCAGTCTAGAAATTGAAAATTTATTCATCAAAATAATAAATAAAGCTTTAGAACCCGTTTCCGGAGGTCGGCTTGATGTCGGGGAATAATTGGAGGACGTTGATTGGCTGAAAATGAGATTGAATATCAAATTGCTGAAGAAAATTGAAGGGAAAATTGGGTAAACCGTTTGGAAAAGCCAATCTGGATATCACACAAGATAAATCTATCAATTTCAGCATTATTATATTATTTCGTTAGATTCCAATTTTTTAAATTGAGTCTTTTTATGGTTTAAACCATAAAAAGACAAAGAAAAAGCTTTAAACCATAAAAAGACTCAAATATTCGACATTATTCGAGACGAATAATCAATTACAGCATAAAGGAGGAGATTTTTTTTTCCCTTATTACTCAAATGTTGTTAAGAAAAAAAACCCTATAATGATGGGAAAAAGAAAGAAATTTTTTTGGTTACTTGGATCGAACCTTTGACCTTCGAATTCACCGATTAATAGACAAGATTCCTATCCAGTCGGCTATCATATTAAACTATAATACTTTAAGCATAAGTTATTCTATTTTAGCTTTTCAATAAAAACTATAGCAAAGAAAAAGATTGTAGAGAGTTTAAACGAAAAAAAAAAGTTAACTAATCCCTTTTTCTAAAGGCTTTAGGTTGAAATTTGAGATTTAAAGCATGAAAAAGTGCTATGAAATCTTTAATAAGATTAGAAAATAACTGTTTTGTTGATGTTATTGTAGAATTAATGTAACCAACCGTTTCTTCACCATTAAATCCATTATTGTCTGACTTTAGGAGAAGCTCGTTTAACTAAATTCAATTTGAATTCATTATTTTTGAAACATAACGTATTTTCTCTAATAGTAGTGCCGAGTTGATGACTATTTTACAGTTTCTAAGCTTTCCCAGAAGCTCAACACACTAATCCCCCACTAGTCTAATCGGAAAACGGATTCGGAATCAGCGCAAAATTTTACGTCGGCCAGTAAATGGCTCATGCCATTTGGCCACCACAACCAGTTGACATTCCTTTGTTAATATCTAGAAATATCTAAATGTTAGACAACTTCTCCAACACCAACCGTTTTCACGATTCCGTCAAGAACGAGTTTCTGAGCGCCAGTGAAGAGTTGACCAGTCTCCGGCACTTTTCGATGAGTTGACAAAGCTTGCTGAAATTTTGAAATCACTGTTGTTTTATTTATTATCTACCTAGTTACATTTCGAACTTTACTTAGAAATAATATTATTGTTAACTTTTTGATTGAATAGAGTATACTGTAGGCTTTCAAATGATACCAAATCGAATTTGATTGAGTCAACCAACTCCAGAAAGCTCTCCAGAAAGCCAGCACTAACCAAGCTAACCGACTCTGACACTTTACCAGCACTTTACTCAGCCATTTTTCAGATATTGGCAAATCCAGTGAAGCTCTATTTAATATCATTCAAAAGCCTGAAATATTCTCTATCCAACTATAGAAAAAGTTAACAATAATATAATTTCTAAACAAAGTTATAGGCATTTAAAGTGTTTACTCCGACAAAAAGTTTCAAAAGATTCAAAAGTCAATCGGAAAGAGCCCATTTTTACAGAAAACTTTAATTCTTTATTGGTTAACTGAATATCATTTCGTATTTAATTTTTAGAAATGGATTAAGCCAGAAAAATTGATTTTACCTTCACTGAGACACCTCTCGCTAAATCCATGTAGTAGGAAGGGATTTTCTCCTCGAAACTTTCATATTCAGTGCCTGGTTGAGGAGATTGAACCATCTAAATATGTAAATATCGATAGAACCAAGTGATCGAAGCTTATTTACCCGATTCGTCAGCGAACTCGTTTGCATGAGCAGCGCGTTCAGTGGCGAGTGTGAGAGCGAGCTCGAGCTGGGTTCATCCTGAAATTTTGAACAATTTTATCAATTTTAACAATAAACTAGTGTTTAATCTACCTAATTATAAGGATTTAAATCAATTTTTCGAATCTTTTGGCTTAAAATTGAGTCAAGCTCAAAAATTGGACCAAAACAAAAGGCTGTACTTAGGCGAAAGCATGAAATCGACGCAGAATTTCACGCTGATTCCGAATCTGCTTCCCGTTTTTGCAAAATAGCTTTCTATAAAAAGTTATACGTGTTTTAAGCTTTAGCTTGGGAAAATTTGGGGAATTGAGAGAAAAAGCCAAAAGCCGAGCCAAAAACCGAGCCTTTATAACGGTTTTCTCATGGCTCAAAAACGCGGCTTGGTGGCCTAGTGGATAAGGCCCTTGATTACAAAACGCTTGCCGCTTGTTTTTCCTTGAGTTCGACCCTTTTGGGGTAAAACTTTCGTTTTGCGTTTTCTTCTGTTCTACACACAATCGTGCACCATTTGGCACACCATTTATACACATAAGAGACACAGGAATTGCTGAAATATGAATGATTTGCACCAGTTCTGCTTCAAACCTTAAAACCTACTTTTTCTTAGCTTTGGCTTTGATCAGGCTTGGATTTGTAACTAGTTTTGAATAAAAGAGCGCTTGGGACGGGAAATTTGTTGACAATGAAAAGATTTAAGAAAGATTCGATTCGGTTCCTTTTCGGTTGTGATTCGGTTACGATTTAGTTTCGATTTGGTTCAGATTCGGTTCTAATTCGGTTTTAATTCGGTTCTAATTCGGTTTTAATTCGGTTTTAATTCGGTATCAATACGGTTTCAATTCGGTTCCGACTAGGTTCCGATTAGGGTCCAATTAGGGTCCGATTAGAATCCGATTGGGTTCCGATTGGGTTCCGATTAGGGTCCGATTAGGGTCCGATTGAGTTCCGATTAGGTTCCGATTAGGTTCCGATTGGGTTCCGATTGGGTTCCGATTAGGTTCCAACTAGGTTCCGATTGGGTTCCGATTCGGGTCCGATTGAGTTCCGATTAGGTTCCGATTAGGTCCGATTAGGGTCCGATTAGGGTCCGATTAGGGTCCGATTAGGGTCCGATAGGGTCCGATTAGGGTCCGATAGAACCGATGGGTTCCGATTGGGTCCGATTGGGTCCGATTGGGTCCCGATTAGGGTCCGATTGAGTTCCGATTGGGTTCCGATTAGGTTCCGATTAGGGTCCGATTAGGGTCCGATTAGAATCCGATTGGGTTCCGATTGGGTTCCGATTGGGTTCCGATTGGGTTCCGATTAGGGTCCGATTGAGTTCCGATTGGGTTCCGATTGGGTTCCGATTGGGTTCCGATTAGGTTCCAACTAGGTTCCGATTGGGTTCCGATTCGGGTCCGATTGAGTTCCGATTAGGTTCCGATTAGGGTCCGATTAGGGTCCGATTAGGGTCCGATTCAGTTCCGATTAGGTTCCAACTAGGTTCCAATTGGGTTCCGATTAGGTTCCGGTTAGGTTCCAACTAGGTTCCAACTAGGTTCCAATTAGGTTCCGATTAGGTTCCGATTAGGGTCCGATTAGGGTCCGATTAGGGTCCGATTCAGTTCCGATTAGGTTCCAACTAGGTTCCAATTGGGTTCCGATTAGGTTCCGGTTAGGTTCCAACTAGGTTCCAACTAGGTTCCAATTAGGTTCCAATTAGGTTCCGATTAGGTTCCTCGTATTGTCTTGGAAATGAATGTAGAGGCCTGAAAAATGAAAAAAACAAAAAGAAAACAACAAATAAGAAGATGCAAAGATGGATTCTTTCAAACAAAACAAACGTTTTCCTGATCCTGATCCGGAGCATCCTCAAAGACGTTGATTTTTGAACTATGATGATAATTAGTAAAAGCGATTGGAGAAATTGGAGCTGGATTGATCGGAGATGCGAAATTGTCCATTTGCAAGGAAGATGACTGGTGATTGGCCAGAAATAGCTGAAATCTTTGCAAGAATTGTACGCAATTGGTTCAATTTTAGTTCAATTTTCAGAAATTTCACCGTTTTTCCCCAATTTTTCATTAGAAACCGACCTTGGTCAAAAATTTAGGAGAAAACGTTGAAATTATCAAAATTTATCCACTTGAGAAGCTAATCTGGATGTCATGCAAGATAAATATGCAAATTTCAATCGTACAAACTAAACATGGAGAACCCCGTAAGTAGGTGTACAATGGAAAAATCAGTTTTAAGCCAGTTTAGCTTTTACTGCTAAAATTTGCATATTTCTCTTGAATCCAGATTTACTTTTTAAGTTGAAAATAGTCGCTAATTTCAACGTTTTACTCGATAATTTTGGCCGAAGTCGATTCCTAATGAAAATTGAAGGAAAACGCTAACATTTCAAAAGCTTACCCACTTGAGAAGTCAACCTGGAGAGCACAAAAGATAAATAAGTAAATTTCAACATTATTAGCGCACCTGATCCCTTTCCTCGATTGGTTGAATCCGTTGCGGGATCTCCGTTGGCGGTGTTCCTTGTTGCAAACGTTTCTTTTCCTCTTTCAGAAATTCCTCGAGCACATCGCAGTGCCTCATGAGGTAATGAGTCCAAATGTGCTCATAGCATCGCCCCGAATTCCTCGAATAGCTCACATTTGGACAGCGGATGCAAATTCGCTTTTCGCCTCTCGTCAGAAACATTCGATTCAGGTACAAGTTGCCTAAAAGTCCTCTTGTTTACGTAAAAATATAAACACAATCTGTCTAGCGTACTGAAATTTTTCTATTCTTGATATTTCTTTCTTTTTAGGCGATGTACTTTCTAAAAGGCAGCAATTTCAGAAAACGAGGCTTCCAAAATGTCTCTGGCACGTTTTATAAACTAAGACAAATTGAAAAGTAGAGCAAAAACAAGTAGAGCAAAAAGTAGAGCAAAAACAAGTAGAGCAACCAGTAGAGCAACAACAAGTAGAGCAACAAGTAGAGCAACAAGTAGAGCAAAAACAAGTAGAGCAACAAGTAGAGCAACAAGTAGAGCAACAACAAGTAGAGCAACAAGTAGAGCAACAAGTAGAGCAAAAACAAGTAGAGCAACAAGTAGAGCAACAAGTAGAGCAACAAGTAGAGCAAAAACAAGTAGAGCAACAAGTAGAGCAACAAGTGGAGCAACAAGTAGAGCAACAACAAGTAGAGCAACAAGTGGAGCAACAAGTAGAGCAACAAGTGGAGCAACAAGTGGAGCAACAAGTGGAGCAACAAGTGGAGCAACAAGTAGAGCAACAAGTAGAGCAACAAGTAGAGCAAAAACAAGTGGAGCAACAAGTGGGGCAACAAGTAGAGCAACAAGTGAGCAAAAACAAGTGAGCAACAAGTAGGCAACAAGTAGGCAACAAGTGGGGCAACAAGTGAGCAACAAGTGGGCAACAAGTGGCAACAAGTGGGCAACAAGTGGGCAACAAGTGGGGCAACAAGTAGGGCAACAAGTGGGGCAAAAGTAGGGCAAAAACAAGTGGGGCAACAAGTGAGCAACAAGTGGGGCAACAAGTAGGCAACAAGTGGAGCAACAAGTAGAGCAACAAGTAGAGCAAAAACAAGTAGGCAACAAGTAGGCAACAAGTGGAGCAACAAGTAGAGCAACAAGTAGGCAACAAGTAGAGCAACAAGTAGAGCAAAAACAAGTGGGGCAACAAGTGGAGCAACAAGTAGAGCAACAAGTAGAGCAAAAACAAGTAGAGCAACAAGTAGAGCAACAAGTAGGGCAACAAGTAGGGCAACAAGTGGGGCAACAAGTAGGGCAACAAGTGGGGCAACAAGTGGCAACAAGTAGAGCAACAAGTAGAGCAACAAGTAGGCAACAAGTGGAGCAACAAGTAGAGCAAAAAACAAGTAGAGCAACAAGTAGAGCAACAAGTAGGCAACAAGTGGAGCAACAAGTAGGCAACAAGTAGAGCAACAAGTAGAGCAAAAACAAGTAGAGCAACAAGTAGAGCAACAAGTAGAGCAAACAAGTAGAGCAACAAGTAGAGCAACAAGTAGAGCAACAAGTAGAGCAAAAACAAGTAGAGCAACAAGTAGAGCAAAAACAAGTAGAGCAACAAGTGGAGCAACAAGTGGGCAACAAGTGGGGCAACAAGTGGAGCAACAAGTGGGGCAACAAGTGGCAACAAGTAGAGCAAAAACAAGTAGAGCAACAAGTAGAGCAACAAGTAGAGCAACAAGTAGAGCAACAAGTAGAGCAAAAACAAGTAGAGCAACAAGTAGAGCAAAAACAAGTAGAGCAACAAGTAGAGCAACAAGTAGAGCAACAAGTAGAGCAACAACAAGTAGAGCAACAAGTAGAGCAACAAGTAGAGCAAAAACAAGTAGAGCAACAAGTAGAGCAACAACAAGTAGTAGCAACAATTTGCGCGATTCCTTGGGCTTGTTTACTAAGACGCCTTGGCAATTGAGACATTTCCGGTTCATCCATAGCAATTTCCGCTCCGATAGCCACTTGTCAAACTCATCATCGGTCTTAGCTTCGAGCTTTGGCCACTCAGTAAAAAGATTAAACAATTTAAGATCCAACCTATTAGCTGCAGCTATTCCCGCCATCTAAAAAACTATCTAAAAAAGAAAATGAGAAATAGCAAACAAGAGAACATAGGAAAACAAGAAGAAATAAGCCGCAAATAGGCTTTAAAAATATCAACAATCGAATCAGCGTACCAGAAAACCCTAGGAACGCTTTTTTGGAAAGTGTCAGAGGCATTTTGGAAGCTTGAAAGTTTTTTGAAAGAGATTTCGTTTAAAAAATGTGTTAGCCAAGAGATGTTGTGGTAGAAAAATATAAGAAAAGATTGTTCTTAAACATTTTAGAATAAAAACTCAATAACCCACGTCTCCCAAAATGCTTGCTCTTGAGTGGCAACTCGTAATTTGGTCCGTGTGTTCCATCCGGGCAATTGCACAGCTCTTTCAGTCCCACTCTATTGACGTCCATCACGCATTCAGCACTAAATAGAATTTGTAAAAACAAGCCAAACAAAACATCATCAAAAATGACTCAAAGTTGACAGAGAAACATAAAATTAAGTTCCAGGCTAGACTGTAATTGTTAAATTGCAGGAAATAATTGATAGGCTATGCTTGCAAGTAATTTATTTAATTGTTTAATTGTTTTAATTGTCTAAATTGGATGTCTAAATGTCTAATCTGTTCGATGGGAAGATTTTGTACAAAGAAAACACAAAATATCAAAAAGTAACAAAAAAACCTTCAGAAAATGGGAGAAAAATGTTGGGCGCGAGAAAAATCGATATAGCGGGGGGTGAAAGGGGGCTATCGGGGTGAGGGGAGCGGGGGTGAGGGGGGCAGAGGCGGAGAGGGGAAGGGGGCAGGCTGGCTGAAAGGCTCAAGGGGGTAGGGTGGCTAAAAAGATAAAATGAGGGGGTGACTATGAGGGAGCAAGGGGGCAGTTACAGCTTCACACTGTTCCAAGACCCAACCAGACCAAGCCAGACCAAGCCAGATCAAGCCAGACCAAGCCAGAACAAGCAGAAGAAGTGCTAGATTAGAGCTGGTCAGATCAGGATCAAGTTAGGTTGGATCAGGTCAATGTCAGTCGCGTTTAAGACCTTGGCAAGGCCAGATTAAGCCAGACAAAGCCAGACCAAGCCATGCCAAGCTAGGCCAAGCCAAGCCAGACCAAGCCAAGCCAGACCCAGCCAGCACCAAAAAACTGGTCAAGTTTGGCTTCTTTGTTTCTGGAAAAACCTTGATTAAGAAAACCTACGATCTCATCGTTCTCCATCCTTTGATTGTGGTAATGAGATCGATAATTTGTCGGAGAGATTGCCGGGTTTAAGAAACCTTCAATATCCAAAAGTCCAGACGACTCAGAGTTATCCAAAAGCATCTAAATTTCTATTCTATTCTTATATTTTGTCAAAAAAAAGGCCAGTTTCAGTACGCGAGAAGGATGCATTTGTGAGTTTTGCTATTTTTTAGTCATACTTGATCCAGTTCCGCTTTCCCAGCGACTCGTCGCTTTTCTTCGCGCAAAAATTCTTCCACCACGTCACAATGCTTTTGCAAATAATGTGTCCACATCAACTCGTATGAACGCCCGGATTTCTTTGAGTAACCAACATTTGAACAACGTCTACAAACTCTCTTATCTTCGTTATTCACAAACATTCGCTCGAGATAGATATTCTCTAAAGTTAGCCGGTTTAGAAAACGACTTTTGAAATCTGACTCACGTTTCCCGCGAGTCGTCTTGCTCTTTAATGGCGCCTCGTAGTTGATCCCGTGTGTGCCAAATGGACAATCGCACAATTGTTTCCACGGATATTTACTATTCCCAGGGTTCATTATAGCTGAAAAATAGAAAACGGAATAAACGGAAAACGGAAATCAACAATCAAAAGCATCAAAAGACGAAAATAATAAAAATTTCTTGGGTATCGCAGCGAAATGAAAATGAGGCGCGATCGATAGTGGCGGGGAAAGAGTGGGAGTGAGTGGGAATGGGGAAAGTGGGGCATAGAGTGGGGCAGAGAGTGGGGCAGAGAAAGTGGGGCAGAGAGAGAAAGAGAGTGGGATAGTGGGGCAAAGCGGATAAACAACTTGGGGCCCCTACGCTCCAAACTAAAGGTAAGTTTACAGCTAAAGCCTAAGCCTGAGCCTGAGCCTGAGTCTGAGTCTAAGCCTAAGCCTAAGCCTAAGCCTAAGCCAAAGCCCAAGTCTGAGTCTAAACCTAGGCCTAAGCCTCAGCCTGAGCCTAAGCCTGAGCCTAAGCCTAAGCCAGAGCCTAAGTCTAAGCCTAGGTCTAAGCCTAAGCCTTTTCTATGAGTCTGGTCGACCCTACTACAAATCTGGTCACAGTAGCTCTATGTTTTGCAAAGAGAGCTGATTTCTGGCAAATCCTTGGCACTTGATCTTTTGCATCTTTTGATTTTGCAATCAAAACAAACTGGTAAATATTTAAAGGTACTTTTAGAATCGTTAAAGTCTGTATTGTCTGATTCTATACAATTTTAAAACCCACCAAATCCCCAAATTCCGCAAATGGGTTCTCCTCTTCATTCATTTCTTCATTCAATCCGAAACTCTCGAGCAAATCGTTGTATTGAAAAGGTTCGGTTTCATTCAAATCTTTGTCCAAATTTGATTGAGCGACCCGGCTTCCAGCGATTCGTTTTGGTTTTTTCTGCACAAAGAGACTTTTCAAGTATTTCTTCTGTTGGAATTGGATCTGAAAAGGTTTTTTTTAAATGAACATCTTCTCATTTGAAGTATTCGCTTAAATCTGTAAACACACATGGTCGAGGTGATTAGCGTCCCTTCTACAAAAAGACTGCTCGAAGGGGGTGTCGGGTTCAATTCCCACTCGTTCCAAACGTTTTTGCTTTCAATATTTTCAAGCATGGAGTTAAAGTATGCCAATTTTAGTTGCTTTAAGGTATTGTGGAAGTTATTGTTACAGGAATCTCGGAGGGGCGCTCAGCGTTACGTTATCGACGTTAGTCACACCCGAATCATTACGCAAATGGCACCATTTGATTCTTCCTGGAATTCTGATTGTTAATGTGACATTCGGACACCGCTAGCCATCAAAATCATCGAGAAATTGAGCTCTAAAGTTAGAGTCACAGTGTATGACGTCACAGTCACAGTGTGACGAACAGTGTTTATTATAGATGTCAGTGGTGGTTCGGAGGGGACCAAGGGTTGGTTCCTATTGCTTTGAAGGAATCCTCAGCCAGACTCAGCTTTTCGACTGATTAAATGACATTTTAGTGTGTTTACAAATTCGATCACAAAACGATCCCTTACCCGTTTCAAGTCGGGAACACTTTGCCCATCCAGTTCTCTCGTCATCAACTCATGAATTCTCTCCGTGCTCAGCATTGGATTCTTCTCGATAAGATCTCTAAAAATGATCTCGAAACCTCGAAAAGATTGATTTTTAAAGATAATTGGCTTGATTTAATTTAAGGATTTGTTTTAACTACAGAATTTTAAAGCTTTTAAGTTTTTAGCCAAGCCAAGAGATCTTGGCGTTTAGCTTGAGAGATAAAGCATAAATAGATCTCAGTATTGTTGTTGGGGTCTTGAAGGAGGCGCAGGAGGGGAGAAGAGGTCACTTGAGAGATCTTGAGAGAACAGATAACAGTTTTTCAAAAAAAAAAACTCAGTATTATCTAGTATTTGAAAGGAAAAATCTTAGCTAGTTTACTTTTTAAATTGTTTTTTTGTGAAGTTTTAAGTCCTAAAAGGGATTAGAATGGTGTTTTTCTTGATTTTCCACTTGTGAAAGGCTTGAGAAAGGCTTTTGAAAGGCTTTTGAAAGTCTATGACTGTTTCAAAAGCCTTTCTCAAGTCTATGACTTATAAAAAACTTTCAATTAAGCATAATTGTGCAGAAATGCAGAAATCTAGCTGAGTTTTTGCTTTAATAATAATTATTTTTTAAAAACATTCAAAACTGAACGGTTTGCTTGCAAAAGCTTCTTGAAAAAGCTGAAATTTTTTGATTGGATGGATTTAATGATAGATTTAATGATAGAAATTTCTATCAGCTACAGTTTTGTAGCTGTTTGTAGCTCAGCTACAGTTTTGTTTTAGTTTTCATTTAGAAAATCAATTATTTACAAGAGTTTTGATCAATTATTGGGTTGTCCAGTTATCAATGCGCGCTTCTTAATATTCTGTAAATTTCTCAAGATACCGAAATCAAGAAAAAGATATATATGAGTATTATTCGAAAGTTGAAGATCTCCTCTACATTTTGATATAAAAAGCTTTTGAATTTGTCCAGCTTTTGGGCAAATTGACTGCACAGAAGAAGAAGTGGGCAAAAAATGGAAGGGTGTCTTTGGATCAAGTTTTGGCTCCGCTCAAATTGAGTCAACCGTTTGATGTTTGGCCAATAGATCTATCAATACAAGTTTTTTTTAAATGTAACAATTTCAGAGCATCTTTTCTTTTCTTTTCTTTTCTGGGCGGTTATTTTACACCATAAAACTCGACGAATAGCTAAGCTGGATGGGTTTTTTTTCGAAAACGTTTTTTTTTTGTCACCTCTCCCTTTGTGCAGTCAAATTCCCAAAAAGTTGAATGAATTCAAAAGCTTTTTTATTCCAAAATGTAGAGGAGATCTTCAGCTTTCGAATGATATATAACACTCAAATATATCTTTTCGATATCTTGAGAATTTATAAAAGACTATATTCGAGTCTAGGTCCTTGGACCGATTCTATCAGGCCAACTCTAGCTATAGAGCTTGACTTGTCTTGAATTTTGCTTTCAAAAGTGAGCAATGAATAGCATGACATCCAAAATCGACTTCTAATCTATCCAGAAGCCAGATAAAGTCATTTTTGACCTAACTGGCTATAGGTTTAGCTTTTTGTAACAATCTTGGCAGGGATTTTGATGGTTCCAAGTCGATTTTAATCATTTCAAGTCGATTTTGATGGTTCCAAGTCGATTTTGATCATTTTTTATCATTATTTTACACCATAAAACTTGAGGAATAGCTAAGCTGAAATGGGTTTTTTTTCGAAAACGACCTCTCCCTTTGTGCAGTCAATTTCCCAAAGAGATTTTGAATTGTAAAACGATGAAAGGAGATTTGAAAGAATTGAAAGAGATACCGATAGTGATTGCCTGGAGATTTCAACTCACCGAGTCATCAGGATTGGATTGAGGAGAACAAGTTGATTTTAGAAGATTCATTCGACTTTTGAATAATTTTACTTACAAAGGAAGGTCAATTGGGCGCGCTGGCTAAATTTATAGACCATTCTACGTAGAATTTCACGCTGATCATGATGCTGCTTTTCTTTTTTGCTACGGAGCACTCTGTCAAAAGTTATACGCGTTTAAAGTCTTGTAAGGAGCTTCAAAAACCAAAGCGCGACATTACAACCCTGTCTTCCGCGAGGTTATCATTTGCTTTATCATTTGATTACCATTCGCGAGGTTACCAAGTGGTAGTGATTTGAGGCAAGGCGAGGGTCCAAGTCCAAGTTTTTCGAAAACGACCTCTCCCTTTGTGCAGTCAAATTCCCCAAAAAGTTGAATGAATTCAAAAGCTTTTTTATTCCAAAATGTAGAGGAGATCTTCAGCTTTCGAATGATATATAACACTCAAATACATCTGTTCGATATCTTGAGAAATTTACAAAATAGTAATATCATAACTGAACAACCCAATTTTAAGAGATCTCTGTCATTCACTTACATCAAAACTTGCTTCGAATCAGCTGATATCCTTTTGTAGCTTCCTTTAGCTTGTACTTCGAAAGGAGATTTAACAAAATAGAGCACCAAAGCGTTTGTCCCTTCAGCAAACATATGCGGCTTTTCAGCGTCCGGAATGCTCAAGATCTAAAAAAGAATTTAAAGGAGTTTAAACTGGTTTTATTGAGTTTAAAGACTTTAAACTAGTTTTATTGGGTTTAAAGGACTTTAAACTGGTTTTATTGAGTTTTATTGAATTTAATTGGTTGTTCTTTATAAACAAATGCATAAATTTGTTCTCATTGCTTGCTTTGCTTGCTTTGCTTGCTTTGCTTGCTTTGCTTGCTTTGCTTGCTTTGCTTGCTTTGCTTGCTTTGCTTGCTTTGCTTGCTTTGCTTGCTTTGCTTGCTTTGCTTGCTTTGCTTGCTTTGCTTGCTTTGCTTGCTTTGCTTGCTTGCTTCAGTTTTATCAAACCTTCAATTTTATTCATTTAAATCAAAGTTTAAAAAGCATTTTACCAGATTTTTCCGCTTGTTTAAACCGATTTCCAGATTATAAACCTTTTTTGAAATCGGCAATCCTCGTGGATGTTTCGAATATCGTTGTAAAATCACTCGTCTCGTTGTTGGGCTGGGTTTTGAAGAAATCCCAACACCTGGTGCTCCGAAGAAGTTGTCCAAACGCATTCTTTCTAGATTTTTCAAAACAATTTACCCTATTTTCTATAAAAATAATCGAAAATTGAGTTAAATGATAGCTTTAAATTGTAAAGATTTATAAACATTGCTTGCTTTTTTATTAAAAACATGTTTCTACCAGCTCCAGATGTCCACGGCGCTACACAATCCTCATTCAGTGACGCTCTGACACGAATTCCCGTCAAATCCAAAATGTTTATGTAAATCCCAGGCACTTTTGAGTTAAAATAGAGTTCGTTGGTCATTGGGAGCCTGAAATTAAGCTTTGATTGCTTTAAGGATTGATTGTTTAAGGTTGACTGGTTGGCTGGCTGTGGGTGAAGGGTGAGACTGCACACTGCTCACTGCTCACTGCTCTGGGCTTCATTAGGGCCACACACGACACAGCCAGCCAACCAGTCAACCTTTAAGGATTGATTGTTTAAGGATTGATCCTTAAGGATTAAGTTTAAAGAGTCATTAAACATTCTTAAGCTTATCCTTTAAGGATTAGGTTTAAAGAATCATTAGGGATTCTCAGCTTAGCCTGAAACAAGATTTAGGTGTAGAAAAGTGTAGGAAAACTAGGCCAAGCCAATGCTAAAGCCAGGCTTGGCTAGGTTAGAGCTTGGCTTTTAAACAAATCTACCCAGAAAAGCAAAGTGCAGTAAATCTGGGCTAGGCTTTGTTTTCTAGACTCAAAACTTAACCTAAACATTAACTATATCAGTCTAGAATCCTGGCTTTTCCTATGAATTCGAATTTTGTTTGTTTGTTGTTTGGCTGCTGTTTGGTTGTTGTTTGTTTGTTGTTTGGTTGTTGTTTGTTTGTTGTTTGTTTCTTGTTTCTTGTTGTTGTTTGTTGTTTGTTTCTTGTTTTTGTTTGTTTCCTCTTTCTCAACTTACTCTCCATTCGTTCCAGCCACCAACATGTCCCACATTCCATTTAGTTGTGGTGTATGCTTTGTGAAGTAAATGCCGGTTTTCCCATCGCATGACTTTACATGTAAAGCATTTAACAGTTGAATTGAACACAGTTTTGAGGTTCTAAAAAGAAATTTGTAAATAATAGCTTAAAATTAAATAGTAAATTAAATTAAATAGTCGTTCTAAAAGTTCTAAAAGTTCTAAAAAAATCAATTTCAATTTTAATTCATATTTAATTGAAATTTAATGTTTTTTTACTGAAATTGAATGTTTTTTTTATTGAAATTTAATGTTTTTATTGAAATTTAATGTTTTTATTGAAATTTAATGAACTATAAAGGAGCTTTAAAGGAGCTTTAAAGAGCTTTGAAGGAGCTTTAAAGGAGCTTTGAAGGAGCTTTAAAGGAGCTTTAAAGGAGCTTTGAAGGAGCTTTAAAGGAGCTTTGAAGGAGCTTTAAAGGAGCTTTGAAGGAACTAAATAGGAACTATGAAAGAACTATAAAGGAGGATTTTTATTGAAATTTAATGTTTTTTTTATTGAAATTTACCGTATTCTCTCTAATAGTAGTACTATTTTTTCAACCCCCTCTCGAACCGCAATACTATTAGAAAGTGCACGACTATTAAAGAATTTTATCATTTACCAAAGTAAGACAGATCTTTGTTCCAAAAATTCTTGCAATTCTTTCACGTACTCCTTTGGCTCCTTTTGACATACAGTTGTGGGCCGGCGAGTTGACAATTTGTGTCTTGACATGAATAAATTTAGCCATCCCTCTGATGCCGAAAATTCCTCGTCACCTTTCCACATTAACCTGGCTTGGCTTTGAATCATTTTTCGTATCACTCGCATCTTCTTTGCCCGCATTTCTTGAATCCAAGCAACAAGATCCTTGTCAAAAACGACATTCTTGGAGTTGGAGTTGACAATTACCGTAGTAATTGTTTGTGTTTGTGTCTTGACAAACAACAAAAAGATGTTTTTGCACTTTGCACAACAATTTTAGATTTTTTAGATTTTTTTGCTAATTTTTTCATGTGAAGAATATTAGTTAATAAATAGTTAATAAATGAATAAAAAAAGCCTCACGTTTGCTTGCTTGAATAGCTTTAGAATGTCACATAAACATAAAGTTAAAAAGGTTTAGATGAAAAAGAAGCAGCAGAAATTCAAATTTTCGAGGGCGCACTACTATTTTACTCATACTAGGCGCACTACTATTTTTTTAGCCCCCTCTCGAACCGCAATACTATTAAAGAGTGCACTACTATTAGAGAGAATACGGTAATTGCTTTTAATTGAAATTTAAATACGATTTTAAATAATTTCAATTAATAATTTAAAAAAAAAAATACCGACTGGGGCTACCAGTGGTGAATTTATCGCATACACGAAATATATCAATCACAATACAACGACACACACAATACTAGGCTATATCTTAACTTAACCCACGTCATGACAGACGGCTCCCTAACCCTAAGCTCAATGGGGAACTAAATAGCTTTTTTGGTGGTGAAGGGAAGATGACGATGAAGGAGTGGCTTGTCACTTTAAAGAACTGGGGCCACAACCACCAGACTGCCCTCCAGAAAACCTCTCAACCCGAAGGGAAAGGAAATCCGAAGGGGGTGACCATGTCGCATGTGGGGTTCGAACCCTCGACCTTCCGATTAAGATAAGAGACACTTAACCAGTCAGCCACACGTGCTCTTTTCAATTAATAATATATTTTTTCTAAATTTTAAAATCATAAAACTCACGCTTCACTTAACAAATCGTCTTCCATCAAAAGAAAATTTCGTTTAAAAAGCTTTAAGGCCGAAAGCAATGTTTTATTTGCTTGAATTGGGGTTGAAAGATGGGAAAAAAAAGACGGGTGCAGTCCGTGAATCGATATTGTACGCCAGATGTGGCGAAAAATAAAAGGGAAAACGAGAGGGGAAAAGAAAAAGACGGAGGAAAAGAGGAGAGGGAAACGGCGAACCAGCCTGCCTCTTTTCCCTTTTCCACTTTTGGAACACCAAAAATTCTTCAATCCGACAATCGACGAGAATTCTCAAATAAATTAGTGAGTTTTAAAGTCTTTTATCAAATAATTGATCAATTTAATTGCTTTTTTTTCCTCTTTTCCCCTTTAGAAAAGGGACAAAAAAAAGAAAACGATTTTAAAATAGAAATCAGCAATTTTACAGTGAAAATTTTGCACTTATAGCTATTTTCTTAAATAAAGAAACAACTTTGCTAGAAAGGGTGTGTTTTGAGCACAAAGTACATAGAGAAAACACTATGATTTAGTCCACTACGATTTAGTTCACTACGATTTTCTAAACTGTGCTCCCTTTCTACCGTTTTGTCTCTATTTTTTTCTGATTTGGTGATAGTTTAAAAAGAATATTGAAAGAGATAAAAGTGGATAGATTCGATAAAAAATAGAGACAAGATCACGGTAGAAAAGGAAAATGGGAAACGGATTCTTTTAAGATGGCGAGAAGAATCGACTGAAGAAGGTCGTGAAGACGAAAGAACTCTTGTTGATGTCATCTCCTGTCATAAATAGCTTGGACACGCCGGACGAGACGTGATGTAGCACAAGCTTCAGGATTATCATGGAACCTCCAAAGAAATCGTTGAAATCTTCGTCAAACTCTACCCGGAACTCAAGAAATGGACACCAAGGAAGGGCGTTGTCGTTAGGCTACGAAGGAAATTGACGAGCAAACTGAACAGTGCCAAGTCAATTTGATCGTCCTGCAATCGGTGCCCGACGGTGACTACAAGTTTCTGATGGTTTATCAGGATCATCTAACAAAATTCGTCATTCTCAAGGCTCTCAAATCGAAAATGACTCTCGAATTTGTAATAGAAATATTCGGTACTTTTGGAACACCAAAAATTCTTCAATCCGACAATGAACGAGAGTTCTTAAATAAATTAGTGATTTTTAAGTCTTTTATCAAATAATTGATCAATGTAATTGCTTTTTTTAGGCAAAGAATTTGGTGAATCGTTGGTCGAAATGTAGAATTGTGCATGGATGTCCTTGTCATTCCTAGAGTCAGGAGTATGTTGAACGTGCTAATCGGAACGTCGAGGTTTGTTTATGAATTTATCTTTAAATCTTTCTTTTTTACTTAGAAGATTCTTTGCACACAAGAAGAAAAAACGACGAGATGGGCACGAGTACTTCTGATTCGATAAAGAATCGTCATTACCACCGAGCAATTAGCCGATCGCCTTTTGTAGCAATGGTATTTTAAAATTAATTGTAAAAACAATATTATTTTCAGTTTGGGCATGAGATGGTCCTTGGATGTGAAGATGAGATGGTCCTTGGATTATTAGAATCTCTTTTAGAATCTTTAGCATCTTTAGAATCTTTAGAATCTTTAGAATCTCTTTTAGCAACTTTAGAATCTCTTTTAGAATCATTAGAATCTTTGGAATCTTTAGCATCTTTAGAATCTTTAGAATCTTTAGCATCTTAAGAATCTTTAGAATCTTTAGAATCTCTTTTAGCAACTTTAGAATCTTCGGAATCTTTATGCAAAGACAAACCCATTGGAAATGAATTCTTGATGTGTTTCTAGAGCAAATGAATTGTTCTTTTGTCTTGAAAAAGAATAGAAAAAGGTTTTTAAAGAAAATTCAACTAAAAGATTTTAAAAGGCTTTTAAAAGATTTTAAAAGGGTTTTAAAAGCCTTTTCAAAGGTTTTAAAAGCCTTTTCAAAGCCTTTTAAAAGGCTCTTTTCCAGATTTTCTACATAAAAACCGTTTTTCTTATATCTTTTATCGTTTATTTGACTTTTTGTTTACTTTGTCAGTTTAAAATTACCAAAGTTAATGTAGTATTTAAAGTAACTTTAAACTTTTTAAGTTCAGTTTAAACTTTTTAAGTTCAGCTTTATTCAGTTTTCAACTCAAAAATTCCGTTTTATTTGGAAAAAGTTTAAATTTAGTTTAAAACCTTGTACCAAACAGGTTTTTCATGTTCGGAGACAATGATAACATTCGACAAGAGTTTCTCTCCTTTGACAGAGATCGAACTGGCTACATCACAAAGTAAGCATTCATTTGTAAAAGTTATTTATAATATGCTTTTTATCTACAATATTTTAAATTCTAGATAAAATGTTCATTTTGTTTTTAATTTTGTTATATTGGGTTGGTGAATTGAAAACTGCGGGACTTTGAACCAAATCTTTGAACCAATTAAATCAAAAGGAACCAAATCTGTATCAAAAAGGAACCAAATCTGTAGCGAACCGGAACTAAAGCTTTACCGAAAAGGAGCCATGCTGTAACGAACCGGAACCAAAGCTTTACCGAAAAGGAGCCATGCTGTAACGAACCGGAACCAAAGCTTTACCGAAAAGAAGCCATGCTGTAACGAACCGGAACCAAAGCTTTACCGAAAAGGAGCCATGCTGTAACGAACCGGAACCAAAGCTTTACCGAAAAGGAACCATGCTGTAACGAACCGGAACCAAAGCTTTACCGAAAAGGAACCAAATCTTTAGCGAACCGGAACTAAAGCTTTACCGAAAAGGAACCAAATCTGTACCGAATCCAAAACTGAATCCAAAACTATTGGGTTGGTGAATTGAAAACTGCGGGACTTTAAACTAAAATTTATCGAACATAAAACCATAAATTCATTCCAAATAATTTCCATTATTATTGACGACTTCTGCCCATTTTACAGGCAATTTGCGGATTCCTCTTTCGTAGTAGGATTTTGGTTTTGAATCGAAAAACTTTCAAAGCCAATTTTTGACTGCTTCTTCCGAATCGAAGTGTTCTCCCGCAAGCTCATTACTCATGATCCGGAATAAATAGTAATCAAGGTCCGGACTGTATGCGGAATGCGCCAAAAGTTCCCAAACAAGGCTATTTATTTTAGAGCGACTCAGTTTTGCAACATGAGGGTGCGCGTTGTCGTGGATGAGAACGATCATTGACTTGGAGGGCCTATTCTTCTGTACCTTTCCCAACTGTTCACTGTATTTGATTGCATTAAGGGTCGTCTTGCTATCCAGCAACTCCCAGTACAACTCCCAATCCCAGCTTTTTGTCAGCTTTTTGCCAACTTTTTATTGGGTTGGTGAATTGAAAGCTGCGGGACTTTGAACTAAAATTTATTCAACATAAAACCATAAATTCATTCCAAATAATTTCCATTATTATTGACGACTTCTGCCCATTTTACAGGCAATTTGCGGATTCCTCTTTCGTAGTAGGATTTTGGTTTGTGTGTGAGACAAGTGTGAGACTCAAGAATGGAGGACTGGAGATGTCAGCTGCCAGCCCAGTCTGAGCACTTTCTTCAAAAGAAACCCATTTTGGTGTCAATAGAAAAGTTGTAGAGAATCAAAAATTAGGCTTATATCAAAATTTCCAAAAAGATACACTTAGTAGTTTCGCTTAAAATGCAAGTTTTGTTGCAAATTCAGTGCAAGTTGTGTGAAAATTCGTAAATTTGACATTTCTTGAAAACCAGTTTTTGAATCGTTCTGAAAATTTGGATATAAGCTTGATTTTTGATTCTCTACAACTTTTCCATTGACACCAAATTGGGTTTCTTTTGAAGAAAGTGCTCAAACTGTCACAGATGACAATATTCGGCAGTTTTCAATTCACCAACCCAATATTAACATCAATATTACTTTTTATTTGCTAATTTAAGAAACGAGCTTCGACAAGCGATGCAAAGCGTCTACGGTGAGCAGCTGAGCGATCGCCAAATCAATGCCATGATTGATGAAGTCGATGGAAACGATGATGATATGGTGAACTATGAGGAGTTCGTCATGTTGATGTCAAATAAATAACTAGAAAACTTAACTGAAATTATTTGTTTATATAAATGTTTTTCTAGTTTTAAATATTGACACTAAGAACAGTTATGGTTAGAAAGATCAAAAGAATAGAGAGAATCCAGTTAGAGAACAATGTGACGACACTGTTAGTTTGATGAAGAGATTTATGGCTATCTGGAAATGGGGATGGGTCATCACTTCCCAAGCAAGGTCCTTCAACTTGTTCCGAATCATTGCAGAAACATGAGGAAGGACATAGAGACATGGAGGAGAGGAAGGAGAAGTCTGAGGTGTGTTTGTCTGAGGAGGAGTCTGTCTGAGAAAAGGATGATTTTTGTCTTTTTTTAGATCTGCCATTTGTCTATGAATAGTTTTTCGAGATGTTTGATGGATTTAGCAGAGTTAAGTGTTGGCTTACTATTCAGCAACTACAAACTCCTTCCATATCCCTCACTCAATAGGCCACTCCCAGAAAACTGATAGCATAAACTTTTGGCGTAATTCAGGCTTCGGATTTGGCACGAGCGTCGCTCCAGAACCCATTGACGTACTCTAAAATTGACGAAGAAATCAACTTAAAGACAATTTAAGAAATCAACTCTAGAAACTAGAGAAGACCCGTTCGTTTTCAGCTGAGATTGCTTGCCAATACAGATCCTTTTTCGCAAGCATCTTAAGAAGCGGAGACGTTCGACGAGTTCCACACGAACTCCAGTTGCACACGACTTCCAGTTGCACACGAACTCCCGTTGCATACGATATGTAAACCCAATGATTATCGTGAATTGGTAAACCTTTAGATGCTTTTCTAATTCATAAGTAAGCTGATTGTTGATTGATGATTGTTTTAAAGTGGCAGAAGATCAACATCTTTTGATCAGAAGATCAGAAGAGTAGCAGAAGCTCAGAAGATTAGCAGAAGATCAGAAGATCGGCATCAGAATTAGAAGATTAGCAGAAGATCAGAAGATCAGCAGAAGCTCAGAAGATCAGCATCAGAATTAGAAGATCAACATCTTTTGATCAGAAGATTCGCAGAAGATCAGAAGAGTAGCAGAAGATCAGAAGATAAGCAGAAGCTCAGAAGATCAGCATCAGAATCAGAAGATTAGCAGAAGATGAGAAGCATCTTTTGATCAGAAGATTAGCAGATCTGTCACGCTGCTCATCTGCTCATCTCATCACTAAATTGACACATTTTCGCTAGTTTCCCTAATTCCCAAGATACGTGAATATTTGCATGACATTTCCATGACATTTCTGATCTTTACTTCTAAAGGAACTCGTATAAAAGTCTTTAAAATAAAGTCTTAAAATTGAAAAAAATTAAAATTTGAGTTGAAACATGAAAAAATCTCCAAACTCCTTCCATATCCAAGATTAGCAGAAGATCAGAAGGCCAGCATCAGAATCAGAAGATTAACAGAAGATCAGAAGGCCAGCATCAGAATCAGAAGATTAACAGAAGATGAGAAGCATCTTTTGAATCATTTTGGCTATTTTTAAGTCATGAAAAGTACAAAAGTAATGTGTTTTTTTTCTATTTTTTTAACAATAGAAATCTTATAATAAACTTTATTATCTATTAAATTTGCATACGAAATCAAAATTTAAATGCATATTGCAATTTTCGAAGAAAAAAAATTTGAGGATCAAAATGGAATTTCGGAAAATTTTTTTTCATGAGGCACATTTTTTGTGAGGAAAAAAAAGAGGAAATTGGGAAAATTAAGGGTTTTTTTTTAAAAAACCTATCTAAAGATCTAAAATAAGAAAAGTAAAAGCTAGAGAACGAGAATAGATCTAGATAAATCTAGAGATGCAAATTTTTAGGCTTAATATCGGAGCCCGAGAGCCACAGCGATCACGGAGAAAGCAGTGAGAGCTGAGGTGAGCGTAGAGGAATTGCACCCTTCACCCTGGAAATTTATGAATTTGACTTGGATTGGCTGGCTGGTTAGATTGGCTGGCTAGCTGGTTAGATTGGCTGGCTAGCTGGTTAGATTGGCTGGCTAGCTGGTTAGATTGGCTGGCTAGCTGGTTAGATTGGCTGGCTGGCTGGCTAGATTGGCTGGCTAGCTGGCTAGATTGGCTAGCTGGCTAGCTGGCTAGATTGGCTGGCTGGCTAGATTGGCTGGCTAGCTGGCTAGATTGGCTGGCTAGCTGGTTAGATTGGCTGGCTAGCTGGCTAGATTGGCTGGCTAGCTGGCTAGATTGGCTGGCTAGCTGGCTAGATTGGCTAGCTGGCTAGCTGGCTAGATTGGCTAGCTGGCTAGATTGGCTAGCTGGCTAGCTGGCTAGATTGGCTGGCTAGCTGGTTAGATTGGCTGGCTAGCTGGCTAGATTGGCTGGCTAGCTGGCTAGATTGGCTGGCTAGCTGGCTAGATTGGCTAGCTGGCTAGCTGGCTAGATTGGCTAGCTGGCTAGATTGGCTAGCTGGCTAGATTGGCTAGATTGGCTAGCTGGCTAGATTGGCTAGCTGGCTGGCTAGATTGGCTAGCTGGCTAGATTGGCTAGCTGGCTAGATTGGCTAGAGATTTTAAGGAAAATAGCAGCCGCTTTATGAAGCCTACAGTAGTTTTAGTGTAATTTAGAAAAAAGCAAAGAATTGAGCTGTGAGCGGCTTTTTTTAATATGAAACTTATTTATCAGTCTGGCGCTATGGCATTATGCGCTTTTCATCACCAACTTTGCACTGATAATAGTAGAGCTGGATGCCGGTGTTGCCTGTCTTTTTCAGTCCATCAACTTCTTCGCCCGAATAGGCGCACTCGCGAATCACTTGCGACTCCTTGCCAACGTACTAAAATTTAAAACTTAATTATATATAAATTTAACAAATAGAATAGCTACTGTGCATTCCAGAATTCGATAATTCGAAGGAATTTTTCCATTTTCAAATAAAAGAACCAAGAATTTGGCTCAGAGTCTTTACTGAAATTTACGAACTGAAATTTACAAATTATTTATATGCAAATCTAACAAATATAATAGCTACTGTGCGTCCCATAGTTTAATAATTTATTAAAAAATCTTCATTTTCAAATAAAAGAACCAAGAAATTGGCTCAGAGTCTTTACTGAAATTTGCTGAAATTTAAAACTTGATTATATATAAATTTAACAAATAGAATAGCGACTGTGCATTCCATAATTCGATAATTCATCAAAAAATTTTTCACTTTCAAATAAAAGAATCAAGAAATTGGCTTAAAGTCGTTTTCGATTGCTAGAGTCGGTTAAATTCTCGTTTTTGAACCGAAATCTTGTGATAAATCTACTTAAAATCATTATTTCATAAATGTATTCTAAAATTTGGATATTTTTCTTGTTATAAATCGCTAACCCTTACCTGCTCAATCTTGCGACATCCCTTAGCCGGCTTGTTCGCGTATTCGCCATCACGCAACTTGCCACAGTCCTGGAACCTTGTATACTTTGAAATTCAGTGCGCCAGAAGGTGTGCGTTTACAATTGCAAGCACAAAGTTCAAAAAACCGTACCTTTTTCCATTTCGGATCAAGATCAGTGACTTGCGTCGCTGCGCATTTGTCTTGTCCCGGTGCACCGGAGTTGCACTGCCAACACTGAACAGCCCTAAAACAATCTTGATCGTAAAACTTGCTTAAAAAAAGAATTATTCTTTGATTTTTGTTTAGAAAATAAATTTAGAACTCACCAAGAAACGCTAACGAGTGCACAGAGTGATAAAAAAGTCAATGATTGCATCGTTGTGGCTGGCTGGCTTTCGATTTCGACCAAAAAAAAAAAAGGAATAATGAAATGTAAAGATATGTTAACTATTATTAGAAACGTTAACAATCATTAGAAACGTTAACAATCATTAGAAACATTATCATTAGTTAACTAGCAATGTTAACAATCATTTGCAAAGCTGCAAAGCTTCTTATCAGAAGCTAACAGTTAAAAACGACTTTTTTGCCTTGAATTTTATCCAATCATTGACAACAAAAAGGCCAATTTTAAAGAAAAAACGTGCTTTTTCAATCTAAACCTCTAAAAACATTGAAAAAAAGAGATTTTTCTCGATTAAGATCTGTTTCAGTGATTTGAAACACGAATTTCTTCATTTATTTCCTAAATTAGTTCATGATACTACGTTTTTCTTGTACAATTTCTTATTAAAATGATATTAGGCTTGAGTTTTTTAAAGAATAAAACAATTCTTAAAGAGAGAAAAGCTAGGAGATGAATAGAAAATGAAAGGAATTAAATAAAAGTAAAAAAGCAGTAGTGTTAAGGCTAAAAAGCGCCATTATTGGTCTTGCAATGGAGAGAAAATGAAGGAGAAAAGGGGAAAAAGGGAAAATGATCAATAAATTGCCCTAAGACGGGTGCTTTTCGAGGAGAAAAGGAGGAAAAGGAGAAGCAAATGGAAAATGGAAAAGGAAAATGGAAAAGGAAAGGGAAGGGGAAGACCCAGACTGGGGTTTTGCTGAGGGGAAAGATGGGCAGACATGGGGCAAATGGAGAGCCTTTCCCTTTGCCTAGACTCAATGTTTGGAGTTTGAAAATGTGTTAATGAAATGCTGGCTCTGAGGTATTGGTGAAGTAGAAAGTTTGAAAGCAGTTTCTGGCTTCAAACTTTATCCAGAATCTTGCTTATAAAGGCCTAAGCCAAAGCCAAAGCCAAAGCCTTAGCCTAAGCCTAAGCCAAAGCCCAAGCCAAAGCCAAAGCCTAAGCCTAAGCCTAAGCTTAAGCCAAAGCCAAAGCCTAAGCCTAAGCCTATGCCTAAGCCTAAGCATTCAGTCCCAGTTAAAAGCCTGTAACTAGTTGTGTGAACTTACAAGCTTACAAGGCTTTCTCTAGGTTCGATAGATTGAGTAAAACATGGTTAAGTCCATCAATCTATCCCAGATCTTGTTTCAAAGTAAGTTTTGAAGAAAATTGAGTAAACTAGTTTACAGTTAAACAGTTAAACAGTTAAATAGTTAAACAGTTAAACAGTTAACCAGTTAAACAGTTTGCAAAAGGAAATGCATAAACGTAAAAACTTTAGTAAGCTTCTTGTTAAAAGAATTCAAAAAGGTCCTTTCCTAAATCCTTCTTTTATTTCTTTTTCTTTAGTTTTCTAAAGAAAAAGAGTTTTTCATAGAAAAATCTCATTGAAAAATGTGTGCTTTTTCAGAAAAAAAAGATTTAAAAACGTTAGAAATAAGAAATTTTTAATAAAATTTCGATGAAATTTCGATTTGTTTACATGAAAATTTTCTAAAAACAAGATGATTCAGCAAAAAAAAACGAGAAAATCTGATATAACATTTGAAAAATCACACTAATCATTGCAGAAAGAAAAAGAAAAAGGAAAGAAGAGGATTGGAAATTTTTCGAAAAAATTTGTGCACTGGGTAAAAGAGAAAAATAAACATTAAGAGGAGAAGCTGAAAAATTTCAGCGAACAACGTTTACCCATTGATCGCCTCTCGAGAATTCAATGCTCGAGCAGGGGGGAATCGATGCCCCCTCGAGCAGGGGGGAATTGGGAATCGATTTGAGTAACCAAAAATTCATTTGATTTTTGTTTTCTGTTTATTTTTGCTTTTTGTAATCGTCAGGCTAGGCTAGGCTAGGCTAGGACAGGCTAGGCTAGGACAGGCTAGGCTAGGACAGGCTAGGCTAGGACAGGCTAGGCTAGGACAGGCTAGGCTAGGACAGGCTAGGCTAGGACAGGCTAGGCTAGGACAGGCTAGGCTAGGACAGGCTAGGCCAGGCTAGGCTGGGACAGGCGGGCCAGGCTAGGCTAGGCTGGGCTGGGCTGGGCTGGCTGGGACAGGCTGGGCTGGGACAGGCTAGGCTGGGACGGCAGGCCAGGCTGGGCTGGGACAGGCTGGGACAGGCTGGGCTGGGCTGGGACGGCTGGGCAGGCTGGGCTAGGCTAGGCTAGGACAGGCTAGGACGGCAGCAGGCTGAATAGGCTGGGCTAGGCCGACGGCCAGGCTAGGCTAGGCTAGGCTAGGACAGGCTAGGACAGGCTAGACTAGGCTAGAATAGGCTAGGCTAGGCCAGACGGCCAGGCTAGGCTAGGCTAGGCTAGGCCAGGCGGACAGGCTAGGCTAGGCTAGGCCAGACGGCCAGGCTAGGCTAGGCTAAGCCAGGCCAAAGCCAAAGCTATTAACGACCAAGAACTGTAAAATTGAAAACGTTCAAATTTCCTCAAGCAGATTGATTTCCAAATTCGGTGGGGGTGAGTCGACATTTGAGCGGTCAAAAAAAAAGACACAAAAAGGTGAAAATGAAAAAATGACCTTGAGAAACGTCAATTCTCACTGTACAGACCAAAAATGACGTGACATTGGGGCAATTTTATGCTTTAGAAGTTAAAATCTAGAGAAATGCCTGAGTATTAAATATTCGTGCATAGGTTTTCACAATTTCTTCAAAACATCTTTTAAAACAATGCCCGCCACGAATAAAACGGTATCAGATTTGTATTTTTTTTGTTTCTTAAAGATATTTTAACCATTTAAGCCAGGCAGAATTTAGAAAAAAACCCTTTTTGCTCCCTATGAGCCTTATCGATTGATAACAAATCGCCTTTTCCGGTAAAAAGAGAAAATTCTTTCACTACAAAATCCAATAATATTGGCCGACGAAAAGAAATATTGCATTTTTCTTTATTTTCTTAAAAACTATTGAAAAATCTTTGAGAATTTTAAAATGGAAAACGCCTCATTTACCCGACTTCACAGGGAACTCAGAGAAGTGAAAAAAATGAAAGAAAGTGTCGTTCCCAGTTCTCAAGAAAGTTCTCAAGAGCTGGGCGAGTTTTGCGAGAGTCGATTGTATTACTTCAATTCTAGGATTGAGACTGTTGACGAGAATTCGCTTATTTGATAGCGATAATCAGCGGGCCACCCGATTGTCCATACGTGAGTGGGCACTTCAAAACCGACATTCAAATGTGCGTAATGTGAGCGATACTGTCCTAAAAGATGCGAAAATACAGATAATTAGAGGGAATGAAAACTAATTTTTGTCCAAAATTTAAACACACTTTTCTCCGGTTCGCTGTTTGGATTTCAAACTTTTGTGATGAAAGAGATCTGGTCTCAGCCTAATCCCAGATGCCGACCTTAAGGACTTCCCTTGTTACACATTAGAAAAAATTAGCATCTTAATCAGCTACATTTTGATATGAGCTTGATAACCTGGTTAGCTCCCATCTCACGATCAGGGTTAGGAGATTTTGAGCAGGTCTGTTTGTTGCCGGGCCAAAAGTCGTCCTTTGTACAGTCGTGTACTTTTCGGTGCCCAATTATTTCTTTGTAAAAGTGCACCGTGAAAACTCTAATAGAAGACCTGGATCTTCAGCTTCAGCTTCAGACCTGGATCTTCAGCTCAGCCCCAGCTCGCCCAACTTCTGAAGAGCTTTCTTCAAAGAATCGACTGTTGGATAGGGTTATGAGTATGCTTTTGCTTCCAATACACTCCATAAAGAATATTCGAGAGGGTTGAGGTCCGGGTTTGATGATGGCCACTGGTTAAAATCGATAAAATCAGGGTAATTCTGCTTGCATCAAACTTGAACGATGCGAGCTTTTTGTGCGAGTGTCCCATCCTGTTAAAAGCACCAAATCCTGTTTCCAAAATGCTTTTTAGCCAATGAATTTATTTCTTGCTAAAGCATATCCGAATAATTGATCGCATAGACTTTGATTCCTTGTGGAACCAAAAAAATAGAGGAATAGAGAAAGGGATAAGCACAGAGCCCTGTGCTTATCCTTTTCATCGCCGAAAAGGGGCGGTCCTTTGGATTGCCTAGGAGGACAAGTGCGGATCTCACTTGAAGTCCCCCTTTCCCCTTTCACTCATTTTTAATCGATTCATCTTATCGTACTACTGTAAATAAAGATACATATTTTTGGGTCTATGCAACGGCAGTTCAGGTCGGTCATTTCACAGGGACTCCCCTCTAATACGTTGGAGGAGTTGAGTCGGGTTGTCGGGGTGTTAGAGATGGCAGGATATCAAAAGAGGTCCACTCTCTTTAACTTGACCCTTTTTAATATCCAAATTTTTACTCTTACACAAGCAAATCTATAGTTTTAACGTTTGAAAAGGCAAAACATTCTGAATTCGAAAGATTTGGTGTGTCGGAATGCGAAATCATCGTGAATTCAGCCCCAAAATCTCTCTTTTTTACGCTTGCCTTTGACGATTTGATCAAAATAAAAATTTGAAGCGTCAAGTTGGAAAAAAAACTGAAGAAAGTAAAATTTGAAAGGCACGAATGTTTAGCGAAAGAAGGTAGCGAAAGGTTATATATAGCGCCTCTTTGGAAAAAAGATATTCAGCTAAAAGCCTAAATCAGCAATATAGTGTCGGCTTATGGTGAGGGCAAAGAAGATTTTCTGTCATTTTTTTCAAATTTCAACCGGTTCGGCAGGTTTAGGGGTAGGCTCCGCAAATTTTTTTGCGCAACTCGGCATAACTTTCTTCTAAGTGGACCAATCTTTATGCTTTTGATTTCATTTTGTAGATCTCAATAAGTGCAACAAAATGGTCGGATTTGTCCCACTCCCAAGTTTACGTATTAATTGGATTCTTAATTCTCGTGGCTACTTGCACCAAATTTTTGAGCAACTGGGTCATTGCGCAACCGCTATAACTTTCTTCTAAGTCGCCAATCTTTATGCTTTTGGTTTCTTTTGTTACACTTTTGGATCTACAAAATGACACAAAAATCATAAAGATTGGTCCACTTAGAAGAAAGTTATGGCCAGTTGCGCAAAAAAAATTGCGGAAACTAGCCTACCCCAAGGTTTATCAAAGTTAAATGGTTTTAAATGTTTTCTTCTATAGTTTGTTGATTTACTTCTACAGTTTTTTGATTTGCTTCAAAGTATTTGCAATTAAAAGACTTCTCGTCAACCATTTAAGTACTTTAGTGGTTGACGATACTTTTATCCTGGCTTAGTTGGATCTTGTTTTGAGTGATTGTGTTGATACTTTTGATCTATTCTAATTTAATCAAGTATGTTTAATAGATTGGTGGCTATTTTTGCAAGTTTTTGACAATTCTAGCCTAGTCTCATGTACTTTAATCACCAAATTCTACCCCAAAGCTGCTGACACTTGAAAATCAATTAAAAACAGCAACATGAAACTTGGAATATGTTGTAAACGCTTTAAAGATATAAGCATATTTGATTACCCTAGAATAGGTAGATAAAAGGTATTAATACCACTCAAAAAATTTGACCCAACTAAGCCAGGATAAAAGTGACCCCTCCCATTTATGTTCTTTCACTTTATTAAACCTTTGAGAACAGTTAACCCTTTGATCGTTTAGGTATCTTCTCAAAACAGTGCTTTGCGCAGAACAGTGCAAAAATGACTGATTCAGCTGTCATCTACAAGGTATAACTTTATTTTTTTATCTTTTAAGATGAAAGTTGTTTCTCGGCGACTTAATTTGCGCTTGCAACAGTAGTAAACTCGCATCTGACTATTAGCAAGTATTACTGGGTGTGGATGGCTAATTATGATAAAGATAGCATTAGAATTCTTATTGTGCTTTATTCTAATTCTTAATTTTAGGTCAAGACCATCGACGGCGAGGTTTTGGAAATTTCCAAGCGAGCAGCGGATCGATCGGCAACGCTCATCGAAATGCTCAGGGTGAGCTTTATCGTTTTTGAATCGGTGGTTGATATTGTCATGTGTTCTTTTCATCTTTAGAATTGTCCAGTTGATGATGTGGAGAACATGGACCCAATTGTGCTTGACCGAGCCAAGGGAACCATTGTTAAAATGGTACGTTAATTTATATCTACTTATTAGCTATTTAGTTTTTAAGAGAGGACGTGGTAAATTTTGTAAAGACTTAGCATTTGACCATGTTGTATTTTAGATTATCCAATGGTGTGAGGATCACAAGTATCGGCCGATTCTGAAGGATGACAAGTTTAATGATTATCTTGTAATGTTAAATAGTTTTGTTTTTGTTTAGGGTTGAACATTGTGAAGAAATCAAGAACCAGGAAAAGGAGCTGCTGAAAGATTTGGATGGGGATGGGCTTTATGATCTATTTGAGGTTGGTTTATTTCAATTGTAACATACAAGGTTTGGGTTTAGGCTGCCAATTGGTTGGATGTTCGCTGCTTGCGCCAGAAGATTGCCAAAATTCTTGCGGCAATGATTTCGGTGAGATTTTCAAATATCTTTCAAATACTAAGCGACCTTCTTATTCAGGGCAAAAAGCATACGGAGATTCGCACCATATGGCAACTCGAGAACGATTTTACAGCCGAAGAGGAAGCTCAGTTCAGGTAAAAGTTGCTTATTCTCGAGCTAGCATTATGCAAAGTCACTTCTTGCTAGTTCCGAAAGCGGTACTAGCTTTTAAGACCGGTATTAAATGTTATATTATTTCGTTTAGCACGGAAGATGCCTGGAACGTCTTGGTCGAGGAAATGACAAAGCGCGAGGCTGAGAAGGTGACCGAAAACGTAGCCACACCATCAGCGTCAACAAGTAATTAGTGTTCCTCTGCATGTATTTGTTTTACAATTGGTTTTTATGATTATTGGTCCTTGTATAATGTTTCCAATTGCCTTTGCAAATGTTTAAATAAATTTGTCAATGCGAAAACCTATCCCTAGACCATATAACAAAAGTATATAAGCATGGCTTCCTCTCCAAGGCTGTGAATCCGCTTTTAGGTTTTCCTAAATCGCTATTGCTTTGTAAGAGTTCCACGCCTACTTTACAAGCATGTCCCTTTCGCCGAGAGGTAGTGTTCTCAGCTACGAAGCTTTTGGTTCGCGCTTGACTTTCTCCTCGTCAACAACATTTCTTTAAACTTTTAAACTTTTTTAAACCTATCACTTGAAGTTTTCTTGTACTTATTCAAAATTTTATTCAAAAAGCTTGAATCTAGTATATCTTTATGTTTTTTTTATGTTTCTCTCATATCAAAGCCTTTAAACTAGTCATTTCAGAAGTTTTGTTTTGAAATGAAACATTCTGAAAAATGAAAAACTCTAGGCTACGTCAAACTTCATTTATTAGCGAAGAATCGATGATTTCAGCTGTAGCTCAAATGGAACACTGAAGAGATATGCTAAGGTTTGTGGAGTTTTCGGAAAGTTTTCCCGCATTTCCAGAAACAACTCAAAACATTCTCGAACTGAGTGCAGCTTTTCGTCGAAATTTTACGGCGATGAGGTTAGATAATGGGAATTTGTGGAGTCTAAAGGCAATGACTAATGTGGGATATATTATATTACTTGTTTTTGAGTAATATTCACTTCTTGCTAGGATTTCTGGATTTTATTAGTCAATTCTGAAGCCAGGCAAGGCAAGGCCAGAGCCAAAGCCAGAACAAAAGCCAAGCTGACCCACAATTCTCTTCAAACATGTTGACCGAATGGCTGTCAGTCTTATTTTAAGTTCTATAAGTCGTCTGTTCAATTCCAGATGCGAAACATCGAACTTTACAAAGTCTTTAATATTCTACATCATACTTTGAGTTTTCGATTGATTCGTCGAAGTAATTGGGAGTAGTGAGAGTTTTTATTTGACAAGAGCACTTGCGGCGAGTCGAACTCGACGATTTCTCCCTTGGCGAGCACCATTATTCTGAATTTTGTTGTAATAAGACTGCGGTAATCCGTTCAATACCGATCATAGTCTGCAATAGTATTCAGTCGATGAGCGATTGCTAAAATGGTGGAGTTCTTAAAGTTTCGACGAATAATTGATTGCACGATTGCATCCGTGTGTGGATCGCAAGAGGCTGTGGCCTGGAAAGATTGGTTGACTGATTGGTTGAGATTGGCTGACTGATTCGTTGACAAAGCTTGGCTGAGATTGGCCGACTTGGCTGACTGATTAGCTGACTGATGGGCTGACTGTTTGGCTGGCTTGGCTGAGAGTCAACTGACTGATTAGCTGACTGATTAGCTGACTGATTGGCTGACAAACCTTGGCTGAGATTGACTGACTTGACTGGGAGTCAGCTGACTGATTAGCTGACTGTTTGGCTGACTTATGAGTCAGCCTGACTGCTTGGCTGACTGACAAAGCTTATCTTAAAACTCCAACAACTTCAAACCTCATCCAAAACGAGAATCTTGCTTTTTCGAAGCAAAGCTCTTCCAAGACAGATCAATTGCCTTTGTCCCATACTGAAATGCGCATATCTTGCTGTTGTTGTTACAAAATTTTCCTATTTTACCCTAATTCTTGATTATTTTGTACTAATCTACAGTCATATTAAAAAAATCGATCCTTTCCATTCTTAGTTTTATTCAAAAAGGTAATGCAATTGCTTTTTTAAAGTTCACCTGATATTCAATCCACCCTCAAATATCTGAAAGTCGAGTTTCTCTTGAGTATTTGCGAAAAATGTTTTCAATTGACATTCCTCTAACACATGCCATAAACGATCATCATCATGGGTAAAAAAAGGATCAAGATTGAAACGAATTGAGCCAGAGAAGAGCACTGATTCCTAAATGATTTTGGGAGCTATTCGGGACCGAATAAACGCGACGAACTACAATAATCTGTCTCAAATCTGTCTCAAATCTGTCTCAAACTACCGTACTCTCCCTAGTATGGTCAATAAATCAAAGCTTTTACCTGTGGAATGATCGTGAGGTTCTCTCGAAGATCGTGTAGTCCAATCTGTGAAATGTCGACTCCATCAATTGTCAAAGATCCACTAGTTGATTCGATTAAACGATATAAACCAATTGCTAGTGAGCTTTTGCCTAAAAAATTGAAATTAAACGTTTATGCAAAGGGATCTTTAGTAGTCGACTCTGATTTTTATCTATTTTTTCTGTTTGGTTTAGTTACGCGAGTTCTCCTCATACCAGATCCCGTTCTTCCGACAATCGCCACTTTCTCATTTTCGCTCGTTTTCGCAGTGATTTGCTTGATGATCAATGGGAGTTCTTTTCTAAAGTTTAAAGCTTTGAGGTGATAATTTTTCTGACTGAATAGCTATTTTGTTTTACCTGTATCTCAATGAGTAATCTGTCCACGTGATTTGCCCTTTAGAAGGCCAATTTGATGGTGGTTTAGTGGACAATCGCCAGCTTTTCTGAAATATACGAATTGGCCGTCTTATATACGAATTGGCCGTCTTATATACGAGTTGACCGGCTTATATACAACTTGGTCGTCTTATAGGCTAGTTGGCCACCTTATATACGAATTGGCCGCCTTATATACGAATTGGCCGTCTTATATACGAGTTGACCGGCTTATATACAACTTGGTCGTCTTATAGGCTAGTTGGCCACCTTATATACGAATTGGCCGCCTTATATACGAATTGACCACCCTATATGCTAGTTGCCCGCCTTATTACCAATTGGTCGTTTTATATACGAGTTTGCTAGCCGCCTTATATACCAATTCGTCGTTTTATACACGAGTTCGCCGCCTTGTATACAAATTGACCGCCTTATATACGAGTTGACCGGCTTATATACAAATTGGTCGCCTTATTGGTTAGTTGGCCGCTTTGAATACGAATTGACCGTCTTACATACAAATTGGTCGCCTTATATACGAATTGGTCGTCTTATATACAAATAGGTCGTCTTATATACGAGTTGGCCGCCTTATATACGAGTTGGCCGCCTTATATAGAAAGCTCTTTTCTATTCTTTTTCCTCTTCTTCTTTTCTCGATTCTATCGTATCCTACAATTTTTTTTTGATTTTCTACTTGGCACTAGTTTTGGTCTTTGTGGTTTGTTTTGTTTTATTTTTGTTTTAACGCTACCATATCTTAGATTCACTTGATTTATATTTAGCACTTGTTTTATCGTATCTAATTGGTTTCTATTTGACCGGATCTCAAGCCAACTGTTCTCTATTGTCTTTTACCGTACCTCTGACGGTAGTCTCGAGTACTCTTCAATCCTCTCAACGGAAATCGTTTGCGTCTCCAGTTCGCTCACCATTCTCACCCCGAAATACAATACCTCAGAAATCTAGATATTCGAAGATTAAGCTTTAAAAGATAACTCAAAACATTCAACGCATAGGAGATGCATAAACCGAGCATTGATGGAGAAATGGCGTCAAATTTTGACATGATTAAGCCAAAGATTGAAACGACGAGAACAGTGATGTTGCAAAGAAGCTCAAGACTGAAAAAAGGGTTGAAAAGGGTTGAAAAAAAAGGGTTTAAAAGCTGGCGTTGACGCTGGCGTTAACCCTGTCGTTCCTCTGGTTTTATCCTGCCTTCAAACTCTATTCTGTCTTGGAGCTAGTCTGGTTCTTTGACTGGTTCTTTGACCTGCTCTAGTCCTGCTCTGGTTCTTTAGAACTTGGGCAGGACTAGAGCACTCTTTGCTTGGCCCAACTACAATAACCAACTACAGTAACCATCCGAACTGACTCTAAACCTTTCATGTACCCTTACCGTAACCCAAGCCATCGATTCGAGGTGTACGAGAGGAAACGACAACGCGCCAACTCGTCAATTCGATGAAAAAATGCGTACACTTCGCGATCAATCTAATTTTTGAGATTTAAAGTTTTTAAAAAGTTTTAAAAAGTTTTTTTCACCATTTTGTAAGCTCTAATACTCGCAGCTCCTTGAATCGTTTCTCGAAATTTCGCTAAAATTGGCGATCGATTTATTCCTTCAAGACGTTTAAGTTGACGAGCTGCCGAGATGTAATAACGCTGAAAGTTTTGGGAAATGCCAGTAAATAGAGTAAATAGAGTAAATAGAGTAAATACAGTAAAGCGTCAAGTTTTAGAACGAAAATTAAAATCCTATCAACTTTTTAAACTCGGTCAAATCCTGAGAAAACTATTTGAAATCATAAAAACTAAAAAACAAACCAAAATTAAATAGTTAATGATCAGAAATGGAATGACGATAATGAGAAACTCAGGAATGGCAATGCACATCATCGTAATGCTGAGGAGTAGCTAGAAGACTGGATTAAAGATTGTCTATAAAAAGCTACTTGTGAAAAATTGGCTGAAAGATCGGAGAGAGTTCTAGGCAGTTGCGAGTCGATCACTTCCAAGTCCTAAATGTACTTTATGCTCAAATCTGCAAGCACACCCTTCCAGGCATACCCAATTCAGTCTTGATAACCAAATCTTTGATCTAGTGAGACTTGGGGCTATGGTTTACAGTAGCTATGCTAGGTTGAAGTGTGACTTCCAGATAGTACGGTATCGACAATATTTTAGACTGGGGTCTTTGCATCCTAGACTAGATTGAGGTGTGACTTCCAGATAGTACGGTATCGATAATATTTTAGACTAAGGGTCCTTGCATCCTATACTAAATTGAGGTGTGACTTCCAGATAGTACTGTATCGACAATGTTTTAGACTGGGGTCTTTGCATCCTAGACTAGATTGAGGCGTGACTTCCAGATAGTACGGTATCGATAATATTTTAGACTAAGGGTCCTTGCATCCTAGACTAGATTGAGGTGTGACTTCCAGATAGTACGGTATCGACAATATTTTAGACTGGGGTCTTTGCATCCTAGACTAGATTGAGGTGTGACTTCCAGATAGTACGGTATCGATAATATTTTAGACTAAGGGTCCTTGCATCCTAGACTAGATTGAGGTGTGACTTCCAGATAGTACGGTATCGACAATATTTTAGACTGGGGGTCCTTGCATCCTAGACTAGATTGAGGTGTGACTTCCAGATAGTACGGTATCGATAATATTTTAGACTAAGGGTCCTTGCATCCTATACCAAATTGAGGTGTGACTTCCAGATAGTATCGATAATATTTTAAAATCAATCTCACCCTCGACAATCGATTCAATATTCTTCCAATTGGTGTCGTGTCAAAGAACTCCATCGGAGCGCGAAGGATTGAGTGAAGTAATGGGGAATGGAGACGAAGAGACGCCCGCTCACAACCGATCATCAAAGCCAGGGTTGAGATCAAGAGGAAGAGGGCTGGAATTGAATTGAAAAATGTTTATAAAAGGTTTAGGCGAGTTTTACAAAAAGAAATACTAAAATAAGGTAAAATACGGGGGGAAATTGAATTTAGCGAAAACAAACATTCAGCCAATCCGATTCCAGTGAATCCGATGAATCTCTGAACGATCTCCTTTCTTGAAATCGTTTGATCACTCGTTGTTTCACTTGTCCATTTTGCTAACCATAAACTCTTCCAAATGCCCATCCCGATGCCAAGAATTTGCGAGGAAATGGTGAGAATTGAAAGCGATAGAGATAAAGTTCTCAAGTAAGCTAGGTAGATCGAGTTTTTCACCTAGAAATTGAAAAATTCTTTGAAAATTTGACTTATTTACCCTTCCGGTCTCCAAATTCTCCTTTTGCATCATCTCGTTGTTTTGGGTTTCGTTCTTGAAAACGAAATCATCGTCTTCGGGGGTCAAGATTTCATGAGGACCTTGATTTTCAATCAATTAAAAGTCATAAATTAATTGTTTTCAAAGCCAGGAAGTCCAATGATTGCTTAAAGCTAAATCAGCCAGTTAGCTCTAGACCAGAACTTAGCTTTTGGCCAGATTTAGATTGGTCTAGCTATTGGTCCTGGTCTTGGTCCTGGTACTGGTCCTGGACTAGCTCTTGGTCCTGGTCCTGGCCCTTGTCCTGGTCTAGCTCCTGGTCCTAGTCCGGCTCTAGCTCTTAGTCCTGGTCCTGGTCCTAGTCCTTGTCCTGGTCTAGCTCCTGGTCCTAGTCCGGGTCTAGCTCTTAGTCCTGGTCCTGGTCCTAGTCCTTGTCCTGGTCTAGCTCCTGGTCCTAGTCCGGGTCTAGCTCTTGGTCCTGGTCCTGGTCCTAGTCCTTGTCCTGGTCTAGCTCCTGGTCCTAGTCCTGGTCCTGGCCTAGTTCTTGGTCCTGGTCCTGGCCCTTGTCCTGGTCTAGCTCCTGGTCCTAGTCCTGGTATAGCTCCTGGTCCTGGTCCTGGTCCTGGTCTAGCTCTTGGCCCTGGTCCTGGTTCTAGTCCAGGTCTAGGTTGGTCTAGCTTGAATCTTATGGCTACAAGCTTTGAGTTCTTCTTTTTTTCTTTTCTTACCTGAACTCTCAGAAAAGCTCTCCTTTCTCTCCCGTTTATTCTCAACAAGAAGCTTTCGGAAAAGTTGATCGTCTCTCTAAAGCTTTTTAAAGAATCCAAAGTTTCTTTGATACTGCTAATTCTTGATAGGTAGCAATTCTTCGAATTCTCCCTTGATCCATGACTATTACTCGATCGCAAAGCTTTGCATAATGAAGGCCTAAAATGAATTGATGAATGATGAAACAGAAAACTTTCCATGAGTGACTAGGAGTCTCGTTTTCTCCCTCAGAATCCCAAATGGACCAATGGCTTTTTGAAAAATAGCCATTCCCACATGCACATCAACCGCTGAGAGAATGTCATCAAGCAAAACAATCTCACAATCCTTTAAAATGATCTATTAAGCTAAAAGGGACGATTTTTTTGATTTGGATTTGGCTTTGGATTTGACTTTGGATTTGACTTGGCTTATTGCAAATCTGGGTAATCCCAGAAGCCAGATCTGTCCTTGACAACGTTTTCAGTTGATCACTCTAGCCAAACACTGACCTGATAGAGTGCTCGAGCTAATCCCAAACGAGCCTTTTGTCCACCGGATAGAGTAACACCCTAGAAAATTTTGATTAAAAAAACTCTCTTCTTTTAACGTTTTCTCCAAGTTCTGTCAATTCTCCATGCTCAAATCTAGATAAATCCTCTTGTAGCTCGGTTGCTTGAATAATTCTTTTGAAGAGATCAGGGTTGAATGGCTAAAAGACTAGATTGTTGACAAGATTGACAAGATTGACAAGGCTTACAACAGTCTACAGCATTCTACAGCAGTCTACAGCAGTCTTACAGCAGTCTACAGCAGTCCACAACAGTCTACAGCAGTCTACAGCAGTCTACAGCAGTCTTACAGCAGTCTACAACAGTCTACAGCAGTCTAGCAGTCTTACAGCAGTCTACAGCAGTCTACAACAGTCTACAGCAGTCTACAGCAGTCTACAGCAGTCTACAGCAGTCTACAGCAGTCTAGCAGTCTTGCAGCAGTCTACAGCAGTCTACAGCAGTCTAGCAGTCTTGCAGCAGTCTACAGCAGTCTAGCAGTCTTACAGCAGTCTACAGCAGTCTACAGCAGTCTTACAACAATTTTACAGTCTTTCAAATCTCTACCTTTCCCAATAAAATATTCTCTCGAATTGTTGTGTTAATAATCCATGGTTGTTGTGGGGAATAAGATAAAGAACCGCTTTTTGTTACTTTACCAGTTTTCTGGATCATTTCATCTAGAAAATTGTGGTTAATAGATTGATTAAAAAAAGAAATCCAACTTTTACAAGCTCTAGATTTGTTCTTTTACAAGTTCTAGATCAATTTTTGAATCGCTTTCATTACACAAATCAATTTAAGCAAACTATAGCCAAAAGAATAACTCGAAAAGGGAAAGAAACACAATATTTAAATCAAATCATTAAGAAATAGTCTAAATCTAGAATTCTGTGTAAGCTGAGTTTATAAATTCATCTGATTATAGCTTCAAGAACTTTTAGATATCGGATTTGTACTAGTCTGAACTTTGACTAGTCTAAACTTTAGATTTGACTAGGCTAGACTTTAGATTTGACTAGGCTAGACTTTAGATTTTAATCAATTCCTAGAATTCAGCTGATTAGAGCTTAATGAACTAGAATTCATTTGATTAGTGCTTAAAGAACTAGAATTTAGCTGATTAGAGCTTAAAGGACTAGAATTCAGCTGATTAGAGCTTAAAGGACTAGAATTTAGCTGATTAGAGCTTAAAGGACTAGAATTCAGCTGATTAGAGCTTAAAGGACTAGAATTTAGCTGATTAGAGCTTAAAGGACTAGAATTTAGCTGATTAGAGCTTAAAGGACTAGAATTCAGCTGATTAGAGCTTAAAGGACTAGAATTTAGCTGATTAGAGCTTAAAGGACTAGAATTCAGCTGATTAGAGCTTAAAGGACTAGAATTTAGCTGATTAGAGCTTAAAGGACTAGAATTTAGCTGATTAGAGCTTAAAGGACTAGAATTCAGCTGATTAGAGCTTAAAGAACTAGAATTTAGCGAAGGCAACAGAATTCAGCTGATTAGACTTAAAGCTAGATCAGCTGATTATAGCTAAAGCTGAATCAGCTGATTAGAACTTAAAGAACTCGAATTATTTGATTAGAGCTTCAAGAACTTTTAGACATCAGATTTATAACGTTTTACTTGTCTAAACTTAGATTTTAACCAATTCCTAGAAAAGAAATGTTTCTAGAAAGAAATCTAATAAAAGAAAAAGAAAAGAAAGATCGTTTTTAAATAAAAATTCATATTAGCTTCAAATTCATATTAGCTTTTACCCAAAATTGCAGCCAATAAACTGCTTTTTCCGGCGCCGACTTCTCCAACAATTCCCACAAGTTCTCCCCGTTTCACCACGAAATTCAACTCTGACAAACAAATTTTCCCATTCAATTCGCTCCATTTAAATGATCCCTAAATTGAATAAAAGTGTAAGAAAAACTAAAATTTACCTTTTCAATTTTAATTGCTTCATTTTTTGTCCAAATTTCCTCTCCTTTCTTTATCAAAATCTCGTTTTCCATTAAAAAACTCTCGACACGAGCTTGCGAAACTTTAGCCTAAAATTCTGTTACTTATACAATTGAATTAGATCAAAGAAATTGTGAAAATAAACTGAACCATATTGGAACCATATTGGAACCATATTGGAACCATATCGGAACCATATCGGAACCTTATTGGAACCATATCGGAACCATATTGGAACCATATTGGAACCATATTGGAACCTTATTGGAACCATATTGGAACCATATTGGAACTTCAACTTAAAACTTAAACTTAAACTTAAACTTAAACTTAAACTTAAACTTAAACTTTTAACTTTAACTTTAAAAATACAATCTTTCTTTTTTTAAACCTGAACAAGATGTAGCAAAGTTTGAGCTAAAACACGCATCGGTCGACGCAATTGAGCGAAGACGGCAAGCGCCACGAAAACCACCGAAAAAGAGTTGAATAAATTGAATTGTTTTTTTTTGTCAATTATCAATAAACAAATCTTCAAAAATTTACTATAGGAAAGTTGAGAAATAAACGAAAATTTGATAGCTAAATTGATTTTGAAATCACTCACTTCTGGGGTCAAATTCCCTCCATTTGTGTTAAGTACAACTAATCCAAAAACGACAAAAGCTACCTGGAAAGAATGCAAATTAAATCCTTCATTCAGTTTTTATTAAAATCTATATTAGAAAAGTTATGCAAACCATAATGACGGTGCGGAGTGCTGCGTAGTCTAGCTTTGAACGAGTTTTTCTCGACACTGGTTTATGCTACAATGCTCACCTTGGTATCAAAAAATAGCTGAGATTCAGGGCTATTTTTTGATACCTAAGCGAGTATTGTAGCATAAAACAGTGTCGAGAAAAACTCGTTCAAAGCTAGACTATGCAAAACTCCGCACCGTCATTATGGGAGGGTGGGGTACTATTACAGTATTTACGGTAGGTATTTACCGAGTATTTACCGAAAATCAAATCCTTATTTAAGTTTATATTAAAATCTATATTAGAAAAGTTATGCAAACCAAAAATGCAGATGCTTCATTGATCACATCAACAGAACGACCAATCAAATTGATTTTTTTGATCATTTTCACCTAAAAGTTTACACTTTAATGTATGATTTTCAAATCAAAGTTTAAAGAATAACGTTTCTAGGTCAATTAAAAGTCTTTCTTTATAGCCGGATTTCGAGAAATCACGTCAGTATCAAAGAAATTTTGGGGTATTCCCTCAGCAACTCCTCCCCAGCAGCTCTTCCCAAATTTTCTTTTTATATTATTATTTCTGTTTAAAAATATCAAAATCAATCCGGTTGGTTGCTTGTTTTCAAAAGCTAGCATTTTAAGGGTAAATTGATTGAGCCGATTGAATCCGGTCACAATAATCCGGCCACAATAAACCGGCGAATAATCCGGTCACAATGATCCGGCCACAATAATCCGGCCACAATAAACCGGCCAATAATCCGGTCACAATGATCCGGCCACAGTAATCCGGCCACAATGATCCGGCCACAATGATCCGGTCACAATAATCCGACCAATAATCCGGTCACAATGATCCGGCCACAATAATCCGGCCACAATGATCCGGTCACAATAATCCGGCCAATAATCCGACTACAATAATCCGGCCAATAATCTACAAATGCAGCTCTTTCAAAACAAACCTCTTTTGTTCGAAGCTCGTGAATTTTCCTCTCAAAAGCCTCCTCCCACGCGTACAATTTGATGAGTTTCACCCCGTTGAGAACCTGAATTTGAGTCTTTGACTGAATTTGAGACTCTCAAGACTGCAGTCTTTGACTAGCTGCAAAAAAATTCCATTTTTATTCCTTTTTTTGCTGGTTTTTTTGCGCTTATATTGTACAAATCTTGATCTTTTTTTTCCAAATGATTTTACAAGAAAAAGCTTTGTTTTTTGCTGGAAACGGAGCCATTTAAAGAAGCTGAAGAAAGCTTTTCAAGAGTTCTTTGATTTGAAACCGAAAAAGTGTTACTTTCAGATTGGAAAGCTTGTAGATCGATGACAGAAAGTCGTAGATAATCATCGTTTATCTTTTTAAAGAATAATTGTTGTTATTGTTGTTATTAAATACAAAAATTGACTTTTTTCGCAGCTGAGTCAGAACTTTTTCTTTAAACTAGTAGCACATTTCTCTATTTTCGGTGCTACTATGCAAATTTTTCGGATTTTGCAATTTTCCTTCAATTTCTGTATTTTTGATCGAAATTTTGATAGAAATTCTAGAATCTATTAAACCATTGTGTTCTTTAAAAAGCAGAGAAGATATAAACCTTTAAAGTTTACATTTAAAAGCGAACTAGCTCGAGAACTAGCTTTTAATCTCTAAGCATTCCACCTCATTGCACATCTTTGTCCTTTCATCTTTCAATTGCATCTGTTTTGCTTGAAATCGTTTAATCAATCGAGATGAGAGAATGTTGAAGATGATCACAGAAATGATTACAAATAGGCCACCAAGAGCAGAGATACCGAGAGACCACGTAAGGAACATCATCGAGAAGAGAAGCTGAAGCTTACAGCTAACAATGAAAGCTTAGAGCTTAGAGCTAAAGCTTAGAGCTTAAAGCTTAAAGCTTAGAGCTTACAGCTTAGAGCTTAAAGCTTAGAGCTTAAAGCTTACAGCTTATAGCTTACAACCTACAGCTTAAAGCTTACAGCTTAGAGCTTATAGCTTAAAGCTTACAGCTTACAGCCTAAAGCTTACAGCTTACAACCTACAGCTTAAAGCTTACAGCAAAATGATCCTGGTTTAATTCTTTATCGTCTAGCTTGGATGCAAGAATCAATTTGCCGAAGCCAGAGACTGAACCTGACTTCCTATTAAGTCTATTCATTAAACTGACTCTAAAAGTAACCCAGAAAATGATTTCATCTCTGATCCAAGAAAGAGCCAAGAAATCACTTGAAACAGCCTTGAAACAGTCAAGGCGTAGATTTGACTTAATTAGAGTCAATTTCCAATACCTGAACTGGAATTGTGACTAATTCGGTGGCAAACGGGATGAACGAGCAAATTCTTTCCACATCAACGGCCATTAGATTCACCAAATATCCTACATCATACTTGCCACGAGCCTCAGCATTGAGTTTTAGAGACTAAAAAGGGTTACTTAGAGCTTAAAGCTTAGAGTATGGGATAAAGATCTAACTCAAAGCCAGTAAGGGTTACTGTAAGACTGTACTGTAAGGGTTACTGTTTAGAATCCGGATAAAACTACAGTCTACGTTTTCGTCTTGTTTATACAGTTTTGTTAAGTTGTTATGCAAAAAATACCTTTTCAAAAATCGCATTCTGAAATATTGACTGAATATAGATCGCGATTTTCAGCATTCCATGATTATAATAACCACTAAGCAATGATTTCATCTCTGATCCAAGAAAGAGCCCAATTGCACAAAGAAATGAGAACGAGAGTGGAGTTGATGGAGAGTGAATCGATGAAAGCAACCATCTATTGAAAAAGGACTTTTCGATTGTTTTTTTTTAAGGTTAAAAGAACTGTAAGTTTACAGGATTTTAAACTGTAAGTTTATAGGATTTTAAGTGTAATTTCTTGTTCTTTAAGGCTTCCAGTTCGATCAGCCGTGAATCCGAAAGAATGGATCCGAAAGAAATGGAAGCCAGTACCTACCCCTTACCTAAAATTGCTTGAATCTCGATTTTCTTATTATGAAACACTCGTGCGAAATCCAGCTTGGCCATTTTTGACTTTAAACAACCGGATTATCGTACAAAATTTATCAGGGAATACCCAGCTCCAATCCGGCTCCTTACCAAAGTGCCCAAGTTGCGTAAATGCTAATTCTATGATTTTGAAACACTAGTGTTCTGGATCAAGAATAATAAGCTAATTGATTGGTAACTTTTGACATTTTGATATTATAACCTTAGCTTATCCATCTCTTTAGGATCAACCTAGCAAAATAGCTTCTAGAAGACCTCCTAGAAGACCTTCTAGAAGACCTAGAATCCTCCAAATTGATGCAAAACATTGACCAAATTGATGCAAAACAAATTTCGTTCTATTTTTTTTAAACTGGAAATCTTATTTCATTTTCTTTTGGATATTATTTTTACGCTTTTTCTAAGTCAAAACTTTCACTTTTTAATTGATATTTGCTTTAGATCATGGTGAATCAAAAGTATGTTGTGAACGTGTGTCTTCTCATGTTCAAGATGAGCAAAAATCACATCGTGATCTTTGTTGCCTGCCGAATCACATCGTGATCTTTGTTCCACTTCTGGAGAACAAGTTATGATCAAAAGATCATGCTAGCTCTGGTTTTCCAAATCTAGATTGTTCTAGGCCTGGTTTTCCCGATTCCGAGAAGGTATTGAATCTCTTGAATGGAGCTTGGCAGCCACATGGGCATCGCTTTGCAAGGATCGATAATAATGAATTGGAACAACAACTTCTTGAAGGGAATCCAATGCAAACAACAAATCCAATGGTTTTCCAATCTTGCAACATCTCTAATGTAATCAATCAAGAATTGTCCGCCATTTGGAAATAATCGGAAAGACCAATCGTAATGGACAGAAAGACTATAGGTATCACGCCAGCACCGAGAATTAGCCAGCACTGAGAATCTGGGAGCTGTATCTTGCTATCTTGCTTATCTTATTTCTTATCCTACTTCGATCAGTCATATCTTGAAGAAAAGAAGCTAATTTTGAGAATATCTTGATAATGGATGAGAAGTAGATTAATTTCTATAACATTTATCAGAAAAGACAATAGCTCAGCAAGGACAATAGCTGAGCAATGCTAGTTTCAACTCTAAAGCCTGAGCACAAAGTGATATTGTCTTGCTGGTGGAATATTAACGGGCTTGTTTGATCATGACCGAACTACTTTCAATCACAGAATCAAGACTTCTTCAATAAGTGGATCTGAAGCAACGTTGAAGAAAAAGCGAAATTTCTTTTACATCAACTTAGTACTTTAAAGTACCGTAACCCAGCTGAATAGAGAGATTATGATAGTTTCTTGGTGAAAACCAAGAAAGCAGCAAAAGCTAAGGTTTAGACACACTTGAGCAAGAGTGGATTCGTCAGATTCCTTGCCACATCACTCGCCAATTGCAGCAATGATATGAAGAAGATGTGCCAACCATGACATCGATGAATTGCCCAAATTATTGACGGGTTTTTTGGTTTATCTAAATTGATTAAATTTTGAGTAAATCATACTATCAAAAATCATACTTTTCTTCTCAATTTCCCAAGCTTCTCTCCATTGTTTCCTTAAAAATTCCGATTTTGCGTTTATCGGTAAATTGAAGAGATCTTCCATTTTGAGAGACTGAAAGTTTAAGTTTTGAAGTTAAATTTAAATAATCTAACCTTTTTATTCCCAATGGAGATTTGTTTTGTGAACCATGAGATGAAAAGAATTGAATAGAAACCGGCTGAGTCGATTGGACAAGCTTTCTGAAATGATTTTGATTAAGATTTGAGTAACAAAAATGGTTTATAATAAAAATAACATTGCTTACATTGTTCTCATCGTGTTGATCTTGTTGAAAGAATGAAATATTGAGAATTGTCAAGAGTAGCACTCGAATTGTGCTCCAAAATGGGAATTTGTAGCCATTCTTGAGAAGCTAAACGGGTAATTAAATTAAAGAAGAGCTAAATCAAAGAAATTATATTTTAGAAACTCACAAGTTGCATTAAAAACGATCCCTCAAAAAGCAATGCTCCAATTGAGAACGAGATTATTAAACCATTGAAACGATGACCAGAACGAGCGGAGAACCAAACGGAAACGATACTCATTATCTAAAACATCAAATAGAACTTTTATGTACTCTAAATCGTACTTTACTATACTTTTATGTACTGTAAATCGTACTTTACTGTACTTTTATGTATTAGGTTGGCGACATTGAAATTTCGTTTGCGTTTCTCTTTATGGATTTTAACACTGTGGATACTATTACCGTCGCAATCTCTTCTGTTTTAAAGATATAATTATTGTGCTTTATTACGCGTCTTTTCTTTATTTCCAGTTGAAGAATTTAGTAAAAAAATCTTATAGATGCTAGACGACCTCAAAATATCGACTTCGCATTTGTTGCTGTCGCGATTTCAAACATGAAAAAAAAGCAACTGAATCGCATGAATCACTTTGTAACGTATTTGAGAAAGATGTTATCACTGTTCATCGATGTCAAAACTGGTTCAAAAGATTTCGAAAGGGTGACAGAAGTCTGGAAGATCTGGGACGAGGACAAACAACGATTTGAAGCGGATAATCGAAAGTGATCCGATAAAGACTACATGGAAACTTGCGGAATATTTTAATTGTGAGCATAAAACAACCGAAAACCATTTGCATGAATTGGGCAAGCTCAATAAAGCTGGAAAATGGATTCCACATTCATTAAGCGATGCAAGCAAAGCCATCAGAGTTCTTTGTTCAGGAAATTTGCTTAGAATTTTCAAGAATAGTGGATTTTGGGATGCAATTTTAACTTCTGACAAGAAATGGATTCATTATGACAATATTACAAGGAAAGACAATGGCTCAATCCGGGAGAAATTCCAAAGCCAATACCTAAACCAGATTTTCATGGAAAGAAAGTTATGCTGTCGGTTTGGTGGAATACCCGAGGCCTGGTCCATTTCGAAGTGTTAATTTCTGGTCAGACTGTTGATGCAAGTCTTTACGTTCGACAACTAGATCGCGGGACGCGGTTCTTCGCTCAAAAGGAATTGATCCGACAACGGTGCGATTGTTACAAACAAACTGTCCTCACGTTGCCAAAATACGCAAGAGAAGATTGAGCAATGGGGCTGGGAACTTCTAGTTCATCCGCCTTATAGTCCAGATATTGCCCCGTCTGACTACCATTTCTTTCGAAGTATTCGGCATTCACTCGAAAGCCACAAGTTCCAGAACATCGAAGACATCAAAAAATGGGTCTCTGCTTTCTTTCAATCAAAACCAGCACAACTCTTTCAAGAGAGTATCCATAATTTGCGTCAAAGATAGAAAAATGTTATTGGTAGCTGGGGGGAATCTATTGTTGATTAATTGTTTCTAGTTTATTTTTACGAATAAATTTTGTTGTTGCTCAAAAACGAAATTTCAATGTCGCCAACCTAATATAATATCTCTCACATTACGCTTTTTCTAAACCATAGACAAGATTACGATGGAAAAAGGAAGGGTTTAGATTTAGGAAACGGGCATTGCAAGCAATCGTAATCTACAATACCTTACTCAACTACTATAAGCCATAACTTGGCTACCAATGTACCAAATTGTAGCTACCGCACTTACTAGGGCTACCAAAGTACCAAATTGTAGCCACCGCACTTACTAGGGCTACCAATTTACCAAATTTTAGCTACCGCACTTACTAGGGCTACCAATTCACCAAATTGTAGCTACCGCACTTACTAGGGCTACCAAAGTACCAAATTGTAGCCACCGCACTTACTAGGGCTACCAAAGTACCAAATTGTAGCCACCGCACTTACTAGGGCTACCAAAGTACCAAATTGTAGCCACCGCACTTACTAGGGCTACCAAAGTACCAAATTGTAGCCACCGCACTTACTAGGGCTACCAAAGTACCAAATTGTAGCCACCGCACTTACTAGGGCTACCAAAGTACCAAATTGTAGCCACCGCACTTACTAGGGCTACCAAAGTACCAAATTGTAGCCACCGCACTTACTAGGGCTGCCAATGCACCAAATTGTAGCTACCGCACTTACTAGGGATCGTTGTTTATTTACCACCAAGTTTCGAATTGCACTAATTATCTGACGACGCGAGTATCAAGCGATCTTCCGCTTTTCGAAGACATGTCGCTAATAGATAAAAAAAAGATCAAACCTCTAAAGATATTCAGCTAACCAACCGAGTTTCACTGGACACACACATTTTGAACGCTAATTTTATCTATGAAGAATAACTTTTTTTAAAAAGCTGTTTCTCCCACCATGTAGCCAAGAAAGCAAGGAATTTTTTTGGTATAAATTTGAGCCGCCTTGGTTTTTTGGATTTTGAGAAATCTGACGGCGCTGTTTTGAACGTTTTGCTATTATGGCACTGTTTTAACTAAATTCCCTAACCGCGGCACTGATTTTTTTTTTGATCAAGCTCTAGATGCGGCGCTTTTTAAAGGATTTACGATATTCAAAATCAGCGAAAAATTTGCTATAAAATAGGCTAGATCCAACTTTGAATTGGTAAATAAACAACGATCTCTAGTCAGTTATTATCAACCAGCTACAGAACAACGTAAGCTATTATAATCCTGAATAGCTAGATAACGATAGCTTTTCTAGACTGGTTTAAAGAATAAAATCTAAAATAAAATCTAAATTAAACTTACCATGCTCGTAAAAACCAACAAATTGTAGAGGAGCTCAAAAAGTTCAACACCTTTTTTCAAGTGTTTCGTGACAATTTCAATGCCGCTTAATAAAGCCAACAGTGCTAGAATAAGCTAAAAACATTCTATTTCTTAGAAATTGTAAATTCTTTACCATTTTCAAGAATATCCATCGATTTACTGGCCATTTCTTCTTCAGCTTTTGAAGTTTGTGAGCTTGAAACGGAAAAAGTGAGAGAATGAGAAAAAGAGTGAGAGAATACGGGAAAATCGAGAAATAGAAGAGCTCAGGGCAATTCGCGTTTGTTTTTGAGGTGTTGAACTAAATTTGAAAGCTATTTAAAAGCTATTTAAAAGCTATTTGAAAGCTATTGATATTGTAGACTTTAGATGATTGGGGATTTGGTTTTAAGTTAGCTTCCAGAGTTAGAGTCAGTTCTAAAGTCAGTCCTAAGTCAGTCTAAGTTCCAGAGTCAGTTCTAAAGTCAGTTCTAAGTCAGTCTAAGTTCTAGAGTCAGTTCTAAACCAAGCCAATAAGCAGAAATCCAAAAGTTACCTCTCCAAAGCATCGATCCACAAATTCAGGTAAACTCATGATCTCTCAAGTCTCATTTGAGTCCGTTTTCTCTTTGAGTCAAATTTTCTCTAAAAATCAAGAAATTTTTGGGTAAAAAAATGGAAAACTCAAATGGAAAGCATTTTAAAAAAATGAAAAGCATTAAAAAATGGAAAACATTTAAACAAATGGAAAGCATTTAAAAAATACAAAAACTGGCTGGCATTTAAAGAATTTTAGCCTTTCTGGTGCATTTCAGCGCTAAATGCTGAAAAATGCTGAAAAATGCGCTGAAAAAAAAAAAGAAAGGTAAGGTAACAAAGAAAATTCCGTGTTTCACACTTGCTCATTTCTCATTTTTCGTTTTATTTCACATATTGTTTATCATTTTGATCTTAAAATTGAAGAAATAGAGGGGAAAACACGAAAATGATTATTTTATGAATAATTTGAACTATAAAGTTCAAAGGAAATTGAAAGCGAAAGGGGAATTTTTAAAGTCAACAGAATGAGAAAATGAAAATAAGCTGGTTATTGGGGGAGTGGGACAAATGCGACCTTTTTTTTTGCGCACCCGGACATCGCTTTTCGCTTCCACAAGCTCTGATATGCCAAAATTTCGATTCTACGCCCTCAAATTACCTAGAAAAACAACTTTTGGAATAGAAATTGGTTAATATTAGCTTTTTAGAGCTTTTTTAGCTTTTTAGAGCTTGTTAAAACGCGAAAAAAGGTGCGCTAATGGGCTAAGTGCGGAAAAAAAGGTGCGCAAATGTCCGAGTGCGCAAAAAAAAAGGTCGCATTTGTCCCAATGCCGGTTATTGGTGAAAATGATCATGAAAATCACGCCTTACGTTTGCTAAAATGTGGTAAAGCAAGGCTACGGTAATCCTTTTCAATTTTTGCGAGCGTGTGTTTATTTCTATTTTTATTTTTTTCACAATTTTGCGAGCGCGTGTTAATTTTTTATTTTTTATTTTTTTTCATTCTTAAAAACGCTAAGTATATTTGTGATGTATTTGTGATGATTCTTACAATTTTGTTTTCTTACAGGTAATGGAGAACGCCAAACAAAGACCACCAAACAAAAAGCCGCCAAACAAAAAACAAAAATGAAGACTCCAAGAAAAGAAGTAACGCTGTGTTTTCTGTTTTAATGTTAGCATTTTAGTCAATCGATGATGTGGCAGCATTTCGAGAAGTAAGCAAGAAGCGAGAAGCTGATTCAGTCTACAATAAGAGTCATGATGAATGGTCAAATCAACAAAAAATACCTTAAGAACGATCTAAAGTGAAGTAAGGTTTTGAAATCGAAACGAAATTTTGTTTTTAGTATAATGGAACCGATGTTTTTATTTAGGTATTTAACAAAATACTGTGAAAGAATAGCAAAGGATGCTGTGGATAGGATGACAGAACAACTTCAACCAGAAATATCAGTGTCGCTAAGAAAAAGTCGACAAAAATGTAAGCTTTTGAAATTTTATCTATTTCTTTTAATGTTTCAAATGTTTTAGTCCTTGGATAATTATGTCTTGATGGACGTGATAGTAGCAGAGAACTTGCTGTTGTGTCTACCGTTCACACTTGCCGTTCATACTTGTCGTGCACACTTGCCGTTTATAGTTTCCGTTCATAGTTGACATTCATACTTGCCGTGCACACTTGCCGTTCATACTTGTCGTTCATACTTGTCCTGCACACTTGCCGTTCATAGTTGACGTTCATACTTGTCGTGCACACTTGTCGTTAATAGTTGCCGTTAATAGTTGCCGTTCATACTTGCCGTTCGCACTTGCCGTTCATAGTTGCCGTTTACATTGTGGAATCAGATCGTTTCAAATAGAGTTAATCGGGTTGGTTATTATAAACATAAAGCATTGGGTGTCCGACAAAAAATTTGTGCTGCCGACTCGCAAAAAATTTGAACGCAAGTTCTTGAGGAAAGGTTCAACAAAATGAAAGTAAGTTTAAAGTTTACGTGCGTGAAATCTTTTCATTTAGACTTGATCAATGTGCTAAAATGGTAGTTAGCTAGGTAGTTAGCTAAACTGGTAGTTAGCTATTTCGCAAAAGCTTTGGATGATTGGGCGACAAAATCTAATGGTGTCTCGTTTTTCGGGTTTGTTTTGATGTTGATTTGTCAAAAATTTTACTTTAGTATAATTCACTACATCAATTCCACTTTTCCAAAAGAACTGAAGGGAAGGAAAGATGCTTTTCCAAAAGAACTGCTGGCCTTAGAAGACTTTACAAACACCAGTTGCACATCTAAAAATCGAGAGCAGGTGAGGTATTTGAAGAATTTGGAAAGTTTCTGTTTTAGAGCTGGACGAGGCTCTATTTAAAGCTCTCAAATTATACAGCATGGATTCTGATCGAGTGATTGCTTTTGTACTCGATGCGGCTAACAAAAGAAGAATGGGAATAACTGAAAATAGGTAAAAGATATCTTCAAAAAAAGATTTTTGGTTTTTTAGCATTGGCGAGTGGATTCCATCTATCAGCTACATCTCGTTTTCACAGCAGGCGTGAAGCTGAAGGACTATTGAAAACATTGACAAATATTGGTAAATATTGGCAAACATTTGGAGAATCAAACCGACAAAAACTCTTTTTAAAAGAGACGAAGAAACGAACGGATCTTCTTTTGCTTGCAATGTACGCTTACCTATTCGACAAAAAGGTTTATTTGTTGTTTTCGATTGACTTTTTGTTTTTGGCAATCCTGCGAACAAGTATTAAACGCGAAAGATGCTTTTCCAGAGCTGGACGATTTTATGGAAATCATTTGCAAAGTTTTCTTCCCGCTGAACGAGTTGAGAAGTTGAGTCGAATAGGTAAGCGTACTTTGTAAGCAAAAGAAGATCCGTCCGCCGTTGTTGTTGTTGATAGCTCAAATTAGAGAAAAACGATTTTATATGATGCTTTTGTGTTTTGTGCTAATAATCTACTTAATTTAGAAATTGTTTTCAAAGAAGTGTACTCTAAACTGGCGTTTATTGAGCTTGAAAACGATTTTGATTGTCGAGTTTTGAAATGAGGTTAGGGTTTTGTGTGTTATACTTCTAGCTTAAACACGGTTTTAAATTCTCGTGGACAACACGATTGAACTATTTGAAGATGATCTTTCATTCACTACAATTCCAAAAGATGTTAAAACCTTTCAAGAAGTACAGCCACCAGTACAGCCAGCTTTCCTTAACTATACAAGTTTCAGCTTTATTTTCTGGCTTATAGCTTTGAATCTCTAGCTTTAGACAAACTTTCGAAGCATTTAACCTAAAGAAAACTTTAGAAAGTTGGGTAATTGAACCATCGAATCACACTGAATTGTCTGTGTGATTGATTGTAAAGGTAAAGACTTTTTGTCGGTCTTTTTGTCTCTGTCTATTGTGGTTGATGGATTTGCTAGAGGGGTGAGTCATCCCTCTCCTTGTCCCGTTCATTTCTTTTCCCCTTTCCTCGATCAACACATTGATCAGGGAAAGGGCTTCTCGCAAAAACTATATTTTTCGACACAACCAAACCAGACTTAAAACAGCTTTACGATAATACAGTCGAACCTCTCTATAACGTAACTCACGGGACGGCTATAGCTTACGTTATATAGAGGTTTACGTTATATAGAGTGCCGTTTTATATAGCTTAACGTCGGCCGGGACCGGTCACGCCTTACGTTATAGAGAGGTTTACGTTATATCGAGGTTCGTTATAGAGAGGTTCGACTGTATTTGAACATTGGCAATTTGAATATTGTCAATTTGAATATTGGCAATTTGAATATTGTCAATTTGAATATTGTCAATTTGAAAATCTTACATGTACCTTGAAAAGTGGTGATTCAAATTTGATTTCTAGTTAGGTGTGTAGCCAAGTCAACTCTAGAATTTGATTCTGATTGGCTTTCATCTGACTGAGCTGACTTTCATAAACCAAAAGTCAAATCTGACTCCATGCTGGTCTGAATAGAGCCGATAGATTTCTCAGCTTGAATCAGGTCCTAATCAGGCTTCTGTCTGATAGTGAGTAGTATTTCAGGCTAAAGCCAAGTCACCTAAAAAGTTAAGCTAGATCTTGGCCTAAGATTCTGGTTCGGCTGGGCAGTTTTTGGTTGATCATGAGGCCAAGTTAGGTGAAACGCCAAGGTAGGCGCAAAGCCAAGTTCAGAGGCCAGACCAGGGCCTTGCTCCAAAGCATGGTTCAAGAAATCGATCAGCAAAGTGATGTTGTTGATGAAAAGAGAAGCGAGTGGTTGGATCTAAAATCTAAAAGATCTAAAATCTAAAAGAAATCTGTTGTGCGAACAATAGAAAAAAGCTAAAAATCGAAGTGTGCCGGAGACTGGTTGGATTGAGCTCTTTGAGGATCTGAAAAATGGGCTGCAAAACTCCAATCAAAGATCTTTTGATACAGAAATGTAGGCAAGAACCCAGGCTTTAATTCTCTATATAAGACTTAGGGTTTTTGAATTGATTGCGGCTGTAAAGGCTGTAATCTGTTGTAGCCGTAATTCTGGTTCACCCAAAACAAACCGTGGATCAATGGACGCATTACTGATTTCTAAGAACTCTAAAAACTGGTCAAGACTTATGCGCGAAGCTAGTATCTTTTTCTCATCCCACCTCCACTCCAATCGCAATTATTATCGCTTATCTGTGCCCTGTCCCTTCCTTACCCCTTCCACAAGAAAGGTCACCATCTTGCACCATTCCCCTTTTCTCTTTCTCTCAAAACTCTCCTCCATTCAATCTATTATCTCTTATTGATAGATCTCCAAGACGCGTTCCTATCATTTTTCTTTAGATTTACGATTTCTTAGAAAAAAAAAATTTGCATTTAACTGATCCAGTTGTCTAGATCGATTTCTAAACATTTTTAAACCCTTCAACACACTCACAATCTTATTTGTTCTCATTTTATGTCATTCTGGCACGCACACTACTAATTTTCATTCTTACATAATCACATTTCATAGTAAAATCTCTCAAAATTTCTCAAAAACCTTATTCCCTTTAAATTTTAAACGTTTTCTATATAAAAATTTGAAAATCTAATGTTTTTTTTGGGAATTCTGGAACGCACAAATGAGAATGGTTTACGTTTTTTCTTGATCCCAGCTGCTTAAGGTTTTGATCGAAATCGAAAATTTTCTAGATTCAAAATGAAAAACTTGAGAATTTTGGTATAGAGAAAATCTTTCTTTAGCCACTTTTTTTTTTGCCAAACTTTTTCTTTTCCATCCCTATTCACATCTGGACCGCGCAGCTGTGACCAATTCGGCGATCCTTTTTTTCTTTTCTTTTTTTTCCAACTCCCCTATCCGCTAGCAGAGATAGTTTTATCTTAAAGCTAAAACTGAAATTATTCTTATCGATTTTTTTCGTTCTTGATGAATTTCAAGAGCTAGCTATAAGAGATTTATAGATTTAAAGAGTTAGGCATAAACCTGGCCTGGTTTTAGTTCTAAATTTTAGCCAGAAGTCAGTCATTACCCTGCTCTCTTGGTTAGATTTATAGCTGGCCTAAGTCTGGTCTAAGTCTGGCCTAAATCTGGTCTGAATCTGACCTAAACCTGAGATCTAATCTTACTCAAGAGCTTAACCCTGACGTACCCATGATAGCCAGAAAGTTAGGCATTAACCTGGCCTGGTTTTAGTTCTAAATTTTAGCCAGAAGTCAGTCATTACCCTGCTCCCTTTGTTAGCTTTATAGCTGGCCTAAGTCTGACCTGAATCTGACCTGAATTTGACCTAAACCTGAGATCTAATCTTACTCAAGAGCTTGACGTACCCGTGACAGCCAAAAATCTGTTCCATAAGCTTGAACTCTATATGTTTGTTCATCCAAAGCATCCAAGCCAGCCAGATTTCAAACCATCCAAGCCAGCCAGATTTTTTGAAAATGTCAATTCTTGCCTCCTTGATTTGCACTGCAAATTCCTAATAAACAATCCAACAGACGTTCTGCAACTCATTTCCTCTGTGTTTTTCTTGTTTACTTAACCTTTTTTAAGAATTAATCTCTTAATTGGAACGCACACGATAACTTAAATCGCATTTTACGTATCTTTTTTAAAATCTAAGCCAATCATTGCCTATTTTGCCTTGTGCTTTATTTATCTTGGAGTATGTTCTATAGAACATTTATGAGAAAAGAGGAGAAAGGAGAAGAGGTCACAACTTGTGTTTGCTCAAATATGGAGAGATTGGAGGGGTGAGTAAAAAGGGGAAAGGACAGGCCAAGGCACTACAAAGACTCATCTCTAGAGCAATCTCAAGCAAAGAAACCTTTTCTTGTACCTTATCTAGAAGTTTTTTTTTTGATGCTTATCGAATTTTTCTGTAAACTAAGATGAATTATTTGGTATTTTGTTATTATTTTGAGGCTTTATTTAGGAATTGTTGGCCCAGATTCCAAGACGAATTCTTAGGTATTCATTTCATTCATTTTTATGCTTTTCCATAAGCTGATTTCTTTTGTTCTTTTGCTTTGTTCCATACAGATTTTGACATCTAATCCATATGTTTTAACTATACTTTGAAACTTGTAAACTAGGTCAAAACTTGGCTAGAAACTAGATCAAAACTTGGCTAGTACCTAGATCAAAACTTGGCTAGAACCTAGGACAAAACTTGGCTAGAAAATAGGTCAAAACTTGGCTAGAATCTAGATCAAACTTGGCTAGAACCTAGGTCAAAATCTGGCTGAAACCTAGGTCAAAACTTGGCTAGAATCTAGGTCAAAACTTGGCTGAAACCTAGGTCTCAAACTTTAGACCCAAGTCAAGATCTAACTGTTGTCTGACTTTGCCTATCCTAGCATAAATTCCCATTGAAACAACCCTAATCCTGCTTTGATTCTAACAATAAGTTGTACCAGACTTGCAGAACTCTAGAATCTGTAGACCTGTCTTCTGTAGAGGCCTGTCTTCTGTAAAGGCCTGTCTTCTGTAGAGGCCTGTCTTCTGTAGATGCCTGTCTTCTGTAAAGGCCTGTCTTCTGTAAAGGCCTGTCTTCTGTAAAGGCCTGTCTTCTGCTTGTCTTATCACATCATAGAATGTTGATCTTCTTTCACCAATAAGTGATATGATTTGCATACCAATGCAAAACATTGACATCATTTTATTGATAGAAGAGAGCTAAGAATGGTACAGAGGTGCAGGGAAAAGGTGAAAAGAGAAAAAGATTTCCTAAAGAGGCCAAAGAAGCCAAAGATCTTATAATTCTTGACTTATTCTTAAGTCAAGAATTATAAGTGACTTTTTCTAAGCATAAGCAGATTATTAGGTACTTATTTCTTTGGAAAATTAAACGCAAAAGATTCAAGAGAGTTATCTGGCGACCTGTTGAGTTGAGTGACGATTGCGCAATTGATCCTGCCTCTTTTCCCCTCCAACTTTATTTTTAACAATATTATATTTAAATCATATTTTTGAAGTTAAAGAAGTTATAGAATGACTTTTAAAAGCTTTTCAATTTGTTTAATCGAATATTTTTGTCTGTATTTCGAATCAAGAACAACCGAAAACGAATTTTTCAACAATTTTCTTTCTTTTAATCCATTCTTATGCCAATTTTCGAATTCAAAATTTCGAAAAATCATCAACAATCGTAATAATAATCATTTATCGCTAAAAAGCAAATTTTTCGGACTTTTTTTCGCTAAGATGAATCATATAGGAATCGATTGGCTCAAAGAAAAACGATTAAAAGAAAAAGAAACGATTGCTAATGGCTGAGATGGAAAATTTCTGGTGCCAATAAATCTCAAAAGCAAAAAAGAACTCAAGAGGAAAGGGGAAAAGACTCAATGGGTCATCTATAAAAAGGGAGAGGCTGGGGACCTGGGATGAGAAACGAGTGTCTGACTGACCTCTCACCCCATTCAATAGATTAGATAGCAACCCAAGCAAGTCGATAGTCGTGTGTTAGGACAGGGACATCGAGATTGCAGATAGTTTTCGATTTCTGAATTAAACTAACCTTGCCTGAGTTGACTCTTCAACCCTAGCTTTTCCCTCTTCAATTATTTTCAAATCGCCTGCTTGCCTGATCCTTGTCCAGCCTTTAGTCCAGCTGGTTTTTGGCTGTTAGACTTACTTGGAACTGACTTAACCTGAGCCAGGTTTGGTGCCATTGACTTTGATGTAAACTAGTCTGACCTGGCTTCTGGTTGGCTGGTTTCTGGCTGGTTTCTGGTTAGCTGGCTTCTGATTAGCTGGCTTCTGGCTGGCTTCTGGTTGGCTGGCTTCTGACTGGCAGCTTCTGGTTAGCTGGCTTCTGATTAGCTGGCTTCTGGTTGTCTGGCTTCTGGCTGGAATTGTTTTTGGAACTGGTTCAGCCCGACAGGTTTGGTTTGGACAGGTCTAGACGGCTTTGGCCAACCTGGTTCAAGTTTGGACTAGGATCTAGCCAATGTCAGGTGAGTCCAACAGCCAAAAACCAAAGCTGGACCAAGGACAAGTATCAGGCAAGCAATGGGTTTAGCCTTGGTTTGACACAGGTTTGTCTCTGATCTGGCTCTGGATCTGGTTCTGCATCTGTCGCTGGCTCTGGATCTGGCTCTGGATCTGGATCTGGCTCTGGATCTGGATCTGGCTCTGGATCTAACAGATCAACAATGCTAGTCAGGATCAGAGTCTGGGTTACCTAGGATCTAAAGAGAGCTAAAACAAGACTGGGTACTGGCCTACCAGTACCCAGTACAAGTGTACTGTTAGGCTAAGATTTAAGCTCAAGATTCAGCTATGGTTAGGCTAAAAGTCTGGCCAGCCAGCTCCGGTCTATTGCTCTTATTTCGAAATCTCAAAATCTCTCCTAATCATCAATCACTTCACCCAAATGAGTGTCCCAATCTTTTTCTTTTATCTTTTCTATTTTTGTGTTGATTTCTTGTCGATTTCTTTCCCTATCACCTTTCTTTTCCTCTCCATCAATCCTATAATCTTTCCCTCAAAAAAAAAGCTTTTCCTTTTCGCAAACCGTTCGATCTTGCAGTGATTTGGCCAAGGAAAAAGTGCCGCTCTTGTCTTATTTTTTTTCTTTTCTTTAAAGAAGACTTTTTCTCAATTAACATTGGTCATTTTCATCTTTTGATCACTTAAAACAATAAAACTCATTGAATTCTCTAGCCAGATGACTTCCAGAATAGAAATAGCTTTGTTTTTTTAACTTAGATTTCCTCAAACATCTAAAAATCCCTTCAAATCAAAAATATTTATCAAAATCTTCTTCTCTCATTTCTTTCAAGTTCTTTCATTTTTTGAGCTTTGTGAGTTCCAGGATTTAGGAATTATTGTATATTGAAACTGTATTGGAACCGTATTGGAACCGTTTTCGGACCGTATTGACCGTATTGGAACCGTATTAGATCAAAATAGGAACCGTATTGGAACCGTATTGGAACCGTATTGGAACCGTATTGGAACCGTATTAGAACCTAAATGGAACCGTATTAGAACCGTATTGGAACCGTATTGGAACCGTATTGGAACCGTATTGGAACCGTATTGGAACCGTATTGAAACCGTATTGGAATCGTATTAGATCGAGCCGTATTGGAACCGTATTGGAACCTTATTGGAACCGTATTAGAACCGTATTGGAACCGTATTGGAACCGTATTGTAATCGTTGATCAAAATTTTTGAAACTTTTCAAATTTTTATGATCTTTCAAATTTTCATGATTTAAAATTGTATTTTTAGGTCAAAAAAAGCTGCATCGAATTTGGGTGTAAATTGTGGAGATCTCTTTATTGATCTCTTTTTTCTATGTATTTTCGCTGATCTCTTAATATTCGATTGAAAACAATGCGAAAGAATCGTCTTCGCTTTTTCATATTCACCGTACTTTTGATTTTTGATGCTAAATCACAACCAGCACAACAATATCCACAAGTTGATCCACATCATTTTGGAGCTGGTGAGTGGATTGGTATTGATATAGTCTGGGAAAGGCTTTAGCAAGATCTATTGTTTAGATCTATTGTTTAAGATCTATTGTTTTTTAAAAGATGATTTGAGAAGTTATTGAAAAATATTGAAATTATATTGAAAAGTACTGAATTTCGATGATTTTTGATGTTTTACAATAACTTTTTCTTTAAATAATCTTTTAGAATTCGATAATCGATGATTTAAAATTAAAATCTAATTAGAAAATAAGATGAAAATCTTTCTTTTTTCAGATGCTAATCCTTGCTATGATCCAGCGACGTTAAGCCCGCAACGTTGTGTGCCAGATTTCATCAATGCTGCTTTTCAGCGAGAAGTTCACGTGACAAATACTTGCGGAGAGAAACAACCGACAAAGTATGAACTTTAAAATACCATAAACTAATATCAGAACACTTTAAAACCGTTATAAACCATTAGATAATCATTTTTTTCTTTAGAAAAGCTTTGACTAGGACTTTGAGTAAGAAAAAGACTCGTTTTTAAGCTCAATTTTCTTTTCTATAGCTTTGGCATAGAAACCCGGGTTATTATATTCAGATAAAGAAAAGAGTATGGTTAAATTGCTGTAATAGAAGCCTGATAGAAGCCTGCTAGAAGCCTAAGTCTGTCTACTCTCTAGAAAAACGCTCAACTCTTGACACCACTGCTTTTTCTTTTTGCCACGCTTTCATATAAAAGTAAAGTAGAAAATGCGTGTTTTTTTTGACATATAAACCAGATTTCTAGCATTAACAAGCGCTTAGAAAAAAAGAATTGAAAAATGATGAAAGAATCAGCTTTTTTTTGCCATTAGAATACTAGAATAAACCTTAAAAAAGATTTATCTGAATTTTGGTTAATTGGTAATATATTTTTCTAGGTATTATAAGTCAAATAACACTGTGAAAACACTTTTAAAACCTCAAAAGATGTTTTCCAAAAGTTTTGAACCAGAATTGAACCCGAGAGGTTGTAGACTAGCGCACTAGTCCCCTAGACTACCACCGCTGCTTATCCCTTCCCCCACTTGACGCCCTTATACCCATTTTTGATGAAATTAGCCGAAATTAGCTGAAATTAGCTGAAATTTGCACCTGTTTTTCTCAAAAATATGTTTCTTACAAAGGAAAGTCAACCGAATGTGGCATCATTCGACGCAGAATTTCACGCTTATTTCGAATCTGGTTTCCGTTTTTGAAACGCAGCATTCTATCAAAAGTTATAAGCTATTAAAGTTTTGAAATCAAAACATGTCGTCGAAAATCATCCGAAAACATCCAAAAATCATCTTATAAGCAAAGTTTCCAGAGACTTTGAAACGCAGTGAAGGCCTAGTGATAGTCGGCTAGAATACAAGGCAAACCATTTGAGTCTTGTAGTCTAGCCGCCTACAACTCGACCATCACTCCTTTCTAAAGTCAAAGGAAGCTTGTAAGAAAATTTTCGAGTTTTCAATGTTTTCTGAATGTTTTCTGCGATTTCAAAACTTTAATCGCTTATAACTTTTGACAGAGTGCTATTTAGCAAAAACGGAAAACAGATTCAGAATCAGCGAGTAATTCTGCATCGAATATTTGTCGTTTGTCCAAACTTGATTGACTTTTTCTTGTTAGATATCTTTTCTATCTTTGATTTCTTAATCAAAATTCTATTTAGATTCTGCGTGCAAACGGGAAATTCGCAGTTGAGAAGCGTTTGTGACACTTGTGATGCTCGACATCCGGTAAGAGGATTTTGAAATTGAAAAAGCGATCGTGAATTTTAGTTGGTTGGGTAATTGGGTGAATGATTTGAAAAATGTCAAGTGTTAGATAGAGAATTGTAGCCCTAAATCTTGGCTACATTTCTCTCTTTAAAAGTTTTCAATTGGACTTGCACAACTCATTTTACAAGCGCTTGAATGAGCGCTGTCAGCTCTGTGCTCTCTGCCTCGTCTCTTCTATCATTTAGTCGTTTTTTCTCTATTAACAAATCGAAATTTGATAAAATCGCTATTCAAAATCAATCTTTACAATAGATTTTATAATATTTTAAGGTTTATAAAGGTGATTTGATATATTATAGCTTGTAATATTTATTTTTAGGCTTTCGCTCATCCAGCTCGTTACCTTACCGATTTTAACAATGCCAATAATGCGACATGGTGGCAATCAGAGACGATGAAAGAGGGAATGCAATATCCAAACTCTGTCAATCTTACGCTAAATCTCGGTTTGTTTTTTGTGATTAGAAATCGAAGCTTTTTTTCATTTTAGGAAAAACTTTTGACATCACATATGTGCATTTGAAATTCGTCTCACCTCGCCCAGAATCTTTCGTCGTTTACAAGAAAACGAAACCCGGTGATGATGAACCATGGATTCCCTGGCAATATTACAGGTATCATTTTATAATATAGCTTGAAGCTTCTAGCAAACTTTAAGCTTTCTACAAGATAGCTTGAAGCTTCTAACAAACTTTAAGCTTTCTAAAAGATAGCTGGAAGCTTCTAGCAAGCTTTAAGCTAGCAAACTTTAAGCTATCTACAAAATAGCTTGAAGCTTCTGGCAAACTTTAAACTTTCTAAAAGATAGCTTGAAGCTTGTAGCAAACTTTAAGCTTTCTAAAAGATAGCTTGAAGCTTCTAACAAACTTTAAGCTTTCTAAAAGATAGCTTGAAGCTTGTAGCAAACTTTAAGCTAAAGCTTTGTTAGATAAAGCTTAATACAGCTTTGTTAAAACAAACTAGTAATCAAACTAGCAATAAAACTGTATCAAAATCGTTTAATTCAGCTCATCTTGCCGTGCCACTTTTCATGTCGCTGAAAAAGCTCCAATTTTGCCTGGGAATGAAGCAGTGGCTCAATGTTCAAAAGAATTTTCGGATATTTCACCGATTACTGGAGGAAACATTGCTTATTCGACTTTAGAAGGCCGACCATCAGCTCATGCTTTTGAAGATTCAATCGTTTTACAGGTTTGATAGGGTTTTCTTTGAGATTCTATTGTTTTACAGGTTTTTTTAGGTTTTCTTTGATGCAATCGGACTATAATCTAGTGCTTAAAAGGGAAAGACATTAGGCTAAGGTGGCTTTTTACTACGAGAGCTTTATAGAATTGATTATGCTGATTCTGAAGATGCTTTTACTTTTTCTAAAAGAGCTCTGTAACGCGAGATTTCTGGTGTTAAAGTTTAGGCAGATTTATAAGTCCTTTATAAGCTTTTTCTCTGTCCTTAAAAAACTAGAGCTGATGGCGCAAGAGCAAGAGCTGATAGTGTGCTAACCTTCAGAACCTTCAGAAGCTCTTTTTGTCCGGGTTCGCGTTCGCTCCCGGTAGATTTTTTTGAGAAAATGATTAGAAAATGTTGATTTATTGTTGAGAAATGATTGTTTTTGACTTTTGATTAACGATTAATGTTTAGAAATGATTTAGAAACATTTTTTTTGTTTGTTTGTTGTTGCTGGAAGATTGTTCATGATTTCATGAGCTGATTATGCAAAAATTTGTGAAATTCAATACGCGAAATGGAAATTAATTGAATTCCACAAAATAGTAAGATTCAATCGAAAGTTTCTAATCATTTTTTGTCAAAAAACAGCATAGACCGGGAGCGAACTCGAACCCGGACAAAAAGAGCCTCCACCGTTTTTAGAGACTAGCACGCTATCCACTGCGCCATCAGCTCTAGTTTTTTAAGGACAAAGAAAAAGCTTATAAACGACTTATATCCCAAAAATCTTCCTAAACTTTAACACCAGAAATCTCGCCTTGCAGAGCTCTTTTAGAAAAAGTAAAAGCATCTTCAGAATCAGCATAATCAATTCTATAAAGCTCTCGTAGTAAAAAGCCACCTTAACCTAATGCCTTTCCCTAGTTATCTTTCTAAATAAATTAATGGACTTAAACCAATCAAAACTTTAGGAATGGGTAACAGCATCAGCAATTCGTATCCAATTCGTTCGCATGAACACTTTCGGTGACGAAGTTTTCGGAGATCCGATTGTAAGTCATATCCTTATCGTTTTCTCATTAAACTATCGTAATTTTGGATCTAAAAGCTTGTCGTTCAGGTTCTCAGCTCTTACCATTACGCTATCTCTGATTTGGCTGTCGGTGGTCGATGCAAGTGTAACGGACACGCGAGTGAATGTGTGAAATCGACTGGAGAAGGAGAGGCATACAGGTGAGAGCTTTCAAAATTAGAAATTTGGCTTTGCTAAAGAGCGAGACGCGTATTAAATATCCGATATCCCTTTCAGAATGGTCTGTCGTTGCGAGCATAACACACAGGGAGCTGATTGTGACGAATGTCAACCATTCTTCAACGATCGCCCGTGGAAACCCGGCACGGCTCAAGAAGCTAACGAATGTGTGGCCTGCAATTGCACTGGTCTCTCGAATCGATGCTATTATGATCAGGTTAGGGAAATGAACCGGCACAGGCTGTAAATTGGGTAACTGAACCAGGAGAATTGACGTTTGAAATTCCAGGATCTTTACGAGAAAACCGGGCACGGTGGGCATTGCATCGATTGTCAAGGGAACACGCAAGGTGTCCATTGTGAGGAATGTTTGCCTAATCATTGGCGAGAAGCGAATCGAAATTACTGTATGGATTGTCGGTGCAATGAGGTTAGCTATGCTAGTTAGTAATTGAATCGGTCAAGGCTGACTTGGGTAACTGAACCGGTCAAGTCTGATTTGGGTAACTGAACCAGCCTAGTCTAACTTGGGTAACTGAACCAACCAAGTCTAACTTGAGTAACTGGGCCGGTCAAGTCCAGCTTGGGTAACTAAACCGATCTGTTTAATTAACTATTCTTTAGCAAGGATCATTATCAACTCAATGCCAATCCGATGGAAAATGCTTGTGCAAACCAGGAGTTGGTGGACAATATTGTGACCAATGTTTACCAGGGTTCTACGATTTTGGGCCAAACGGTTGCAAGTGAGTGAAGAGAGATTCTTCTGGAAAGCCTAATGGCTAAGTTTCCATGTGTACTTTGAGCTCTTAGAAGCACATCTTTCTAGTGCACTGAACTTTCTTGTAAAGCCGATCGTTGGCATGAGAAAAACGAAGAATTCAGTGCGGCAGAAGTGGCCTTTATAAAGTGGCCCTGAAAACTTAGCCATTAGGTAGTGTGCCTTCCAGAATATAGAGCCAGAATGAGAAATAGGTTTGGAGTCAAGCTTTACAACTACAATTTGGCTTTCCAGACTCTAGATTCTTTTTCAGGAGCTGTGAATGTGAGGTAGCTGGAAGTTTTGAGAATCAACCGTATTGCGATTCAATGAATGGAACATGTACCTGTAAAAGTAACGTCGAGGGTCGTCAATGTAACAAGTGTAAACCCGGATATTTCGATTTGTCGACGTGAGTTTGATCTCATAAAGAGTTTCCAATGGATTTAAAGCCAAATCCCCAAGAATAGTGATGGATTTCTTGGGGTTTTATTTTAAGCTGGATATCACAGCGTCTTATGACATTTTTCTAGCTTAATAGAATGGAAATTTGTTCTAGGGTTACTGTAGATTTCTTGTACCGTAATCTTACCCAATCTTACAGTAACCCTGGCTGTAAATCTTGCTCTTTTCATTCAAAATCTCTGAAATTTCTAGTGAGAACATGTTCGGTTGTTCACCGTGTTTCTGCTATGGTCATTCATCGATTTGTGCCTCAGCTGATGGCTATTATGCGGTGAATGTGAGCTCACAATTTGATGAAGGTGAGAATTTTCGAGATTTTTAAACAATCTGGCAGGCACAGTGCTTGAAAAGTTTAAAAATTTGATTATAAAGTTGATGAGAAAAATTTGGAAAAATTCGAAAAGCACTCTTTCTCGGCAAATCGAATTCCTATAAAGGAGATTGTTGAAAGTTGACAAGAATCGTTGACACTACGCTAGAAGGGATGTGTTTATGAATTTGTTTGAGCACAAAGTACAGTCAAAAGAAAAACCCATCAAACAAAGCCATCGAAAAATCCAGAAATTTTCAGCTTACTTCTTTGACTCATAAATGGATCACCAAAATAAGCAAAGCGGTCAAAAGAGCAAAAATTTGAGCAATTAAACCGATAACGAATGAGTGCTGAAAATGAAATTGAAAACTTTACAAATGAAAATTTCGTTTTTCTTAAAAATCGATACTTCATCAAAGAAAAATAAGCTTTTTTTTGAGGTGTGAAAATCGGATTTTTCGATAAAAAGCTAATTGTTATCAGTTTATTTGCTTCTTTGAGAAAATTTCAGTTACAAAGTATTGGAGGTATTTGAATAGCAATGAAATGAGAAATTTTGATTTCAAAATCTTTAACGGTTAAGTTTTTGACGGTTTTAGACTAGTCTTGAACTAGTTTTAACGGTCTTAGACTGGTCTTGAACTAGTTTTAACGGTCTTAGACTAGTCTTGAACTAGTTTTAACGGTCTTAGACTAGTCTTAGACTATTTTGACGGCCTTAGACTAGTCTTAGACTAGTTTTAACGATCTTAGACTAGTTTTAACGATCTTAGACTAGTCTTGAACTAGTTTTAACGGCCTTAGACTATTTTGACGGTCTTAAAATAGTCTTAGACTATTTTAACGGTCTTAGACAAGCCCTGGCCTTGCTTGACTTGGCTAGACTTACTATTAGCTTCTGTTCTTGTACTTCTGGTCATGACTGACTCTGTTCAGACTCTAGTCCAGTGATTGTCAGCTTTCCAAAATCAAATATCAGGCAAAGAATCGTGGGGAGCTTTATCACATCGTGGGCCGGTGGATGCGCAATGGGCTGAGATCGAGAAAGCGGTAGCTGTGCAAGATGTCGATGGATCGCCTGTCTATTTCAAGTGAGTACAAGTTCTAGTAAATTACAATCAACTTTCTATCAAGTTGATTGTAATTTACTAGTAGTAATATTGATAGAAAGGTAAGGAGTCAGTCTAGAGCCAGAATCAGAAGCTTAGCCTTGATAGCCTTGATCGACAAGTGGTTCTTGATCGACAAGAATTGTTCTTTTCAGTGCTCCCGAGATGTTCCTCGGTGATCAGCGAGCTGCCTACAATCAGGATTTAGTCTTCCATCTGCGCGTTTCCAAAGATGGAGCAAGAGCAAGCACCAAGTAAGTAAAGAGAGTTGAAATTGGCTTAAAATTGACTTAAATTCGCTCTGAATTGGTTCAAATCATAAGGCCAATTAGAAAATTGAACTTATCATTTGAAATGATAGAATTATTGCTTGTAAACAGATTGGACTAACATCAGACAAGCATTAGCAATCATTTTTATCTTCAGAGACATTCTCATTGTCGGTTCTGAGGGTCAGGAGTTGTCAATTCCAATCTTCGCTCAAAATAATCCCTCTCCAACAACGAGCTTTCAAGAATATCGCTTCAAAATTCATGCTGATAATGTTTTCCAGGTTCGCAATTTTCATTTAAAACCATTTTTAAACAATTTCTTTAGCCGCTGTGACTTCCAGTTTAGCTTTTTAAAGTCAAAAATTTTAGTGGAATCCTCGACTAAACGAGCTCGAGTTTATCGGAATTCTCTCAAATGTAACAGCATTGAAAATTCGCGGAACTTACACCTACAATGATGTTGGTTTTTTGAACGATTTATATCTGGGATCTGCTGGTTTGGCGCCAAGTGAGTTGGATCCACGAAAAGCGCATTGGGTCGAGCATTGCGAGTGTCAAGATAGGTGAGGAAAGTTTACATTAAGCTCTACAATCCGTTTTCAGCTTTGTCGGTCAATTCTGTGAATCGTGTGCTCCCGGATATCGTCGTGAGCGTAAATTTGGCGGACCATTCGATCGTTGCATCAAATGTGATTGTCATGGGCACTCGGAAAGTTGTGAGGCTGAAAGTGGTTGGTTTTTATTGAGAATCAAGCTGATTTTATAGCTTTTATAGCATTTTAAAGGCTTTCAAAGGCTTTTAAAAGCTTTCAAAGGCTTTCAAAAGCTGTAATAGCTTTCAAAGCCTTTCAAAGCCTTTCAAAACCTTTCAAAACCTTTCAAAACCTTTCAAAACCTTTCCGATTTAGCTTATCCTTTTTAGGTGCCTGTATTTGCAAGCACAACACTGCTGGAGATACTTGTGAGCGTTGTGCTCGTGGTTTTTATGGTGATGCGTTAAGGGGAACTGAAGAGGATTGTCAGGTGAATTTTGGGCATTCTTTAGTTAGATATTAAACGCAACTAGTATTGTATTGTACTCGTTTTTTTAAAAAGACATTTTTCAAGTATATTAGGTTTATGCAAAAGAAATTTCGCTTTATTTATAAAAATTAATTCAAAAATTTCTTTAGTTAAGAATTTAGTCGAAAAAAATTGAAAATCAAAGAATTTCAACAATTTTAACGCAAGATTTTGTCAACTTTTTTGAGATGTTAAATAAAACAACAACTTGTTTTATTTAACATTGTCATCAACATCAACATCAATTGCTTTTCCTGGGCTCTAATAATTCGAAAGCCAAAAGCCCGTTGATATTCCACCACAACATCACTTTGTGCCCCGGCTTTAGAGTTGAAATTAGCATTTGACTCCTTGCTGAGCTATTGTCTTTTTCTGATAAATGTTATAAAAATTAATCTACTTCTCATCCATTATCAAGATATTCTCAAAATTAGCTTCTTTTCTTCAAGATATGACTGATCGAAGTAGGCTAAGAAATAAGATAAGCAAGATAACAAGATACAGCTCCCAGATTCTCAGTGCTGGCTAATTCTCGGTGCTGGCGTGATACCTATAGTCTTTCCGTCCATTACGATTGGTCTTTCCGATTATTTCCAAATGGCGGACAATTCTTGATTGATTACATTAGAGATGTTGCAAGCTCTCATTGGAAAACCATTGGATTTATTGTTTGCATTGGATTCCCTTCAAGAAGTTGTTGTTCCAATTCATTATTATCGATCCTTGCCAAGCGATGCCCATGTGGCTGCCAAGCGATGCCCATTCAAGAGATTCAATACCTTCTCGGAATCGGGAAAACCAGGCTTAGAACAATCTAGAATGGGAAAACCGGGCTTAGAACAATCTAGATTGTGGAAAATCAGGCTTAGAACAATCTAGATTGGGAAAACCAGAGCTAGCATGATCTTTTGATCATAACTTGTTCTCCAAAAGTGGAACAAAAATCACGATCTGATTCGGCAGCGTTTTTCCTCCTCTTGAACATGAGAAGACACACGTTCACAATATACTTTTGCCCCACCAAAGCTAAAGCAAATATTAATTAAAAAGTAAAAGCTTTGACTTAGAAAAAAGCGTAAAAATAAAGTAAACATTCAAGAGTACAAATGTACAAAAGAAAATGAAATCAAATTTTTAGATTTTAAAGAGAAATAGAAAATTTTTGATGCGAAATTTCTTTTGCATCAATTTAGTACTGACGATCGTTTGATGTTTCGAAAGCTAGTTTTCAATAAACTTTCTTTTGACTTCTGATTCTTTTTCTAGAAATGCCCTTGTCCTGAGGATGGTCCTTGTGTTTTACATTCGGATGGTGACGTTCTTTGCACCGATTGTCCAACTGGATACACTGGAAGAAGGTTTTTTTTTTGAAAATGATTCATTTCATTCTTAGATTTGAGGTTAAGGAAACAAGGGAATTTCATTTTATATATATAAAAGAGCAGTTTCTGTCCATCCCTCCGTCTGTCCGTCCGTTTGTTCGTCCGTCTGTCCGTCTATTCGTTTTCCTCAGCATTTTCTCTAATCTTTAGGCTTTTCTTTTGATTCTCAGCAATTCCCAATTCCTTTTTTGACGAGTTTTTCAGCTAGTACTAGAAAATGAATCTACTTGGCTTATTTTGATGAAAATAAATGATAATAAATAAATGTTTTTGTTTTAGATGTGATGAGTGCTCAGATGGTTTCTTTGGTAACCCAAAGATCGAGATTGAATGCAAAGAATGCGAATGCTCGGGTAACACCGATCCAAACAGTATTGGAAACTGTGACAAGTGAGTTAAGAACTGTAGAAAACAGCTAGAGAGCTACTGTAGAAAAAAATGGAGAAAAATCTGTTTCAGGATCTCTGGAGAGTGCAAAAAGTGTATCTACAACACAGACGGTTTTCACTGTGAAAAGTGCAAGGGTGGATTCTGGGGTGATGCGCTTAAAGTGCCCACGGGTGATTGCAAGGCTTGTCGGTGAGTGAAATGATATCCAGATTGAATTTCCTTGAGTGAATTCTGATTGGCTAAGCGTTTCAAAAAACTCTTCAACTCTTTTTCAGCTGTTTTGCTCCGGGCACAATCCGTCCATCAAACGATTACACCGTTTTGGAGTGTCAGCAAAGTGATGGGCAATGTGATTGTCAACCGCACGTCATCGGGGCACAATGTGATCAATGCGAGGTATAGTTTTTACCAAGGCTTGAAGACGAGTGGAAAGCTTGGCTTTTGACCTAGCTTTTGACCTGCTTTTGGGCTGCTTTTGACCTAGCTTTTGACCTGGCTTTTGGCCTGGCCTTTGGCTTGGCTTTTGGCCTGCTTTTGGCTTGGCTTTTGGCCTGCTTTTGACCTAGCTTTTGACCTGGCTTTTGGCTTGGCTTTTGGTCTGCTTTTGGCCTAGCTTTTGGCCTAGCTTTTGACCTGGCTTTTCGCCTAGCTTTTGGCCTAGCTTTTGGCTTAACCCTGGTATTTGGAAAACAGGATTGTTAGTATGGATTGAGATAAAGTTACTCTTTTTAGCGTGGCTTCTTCAACATCACTTCTGGATCAGGTTGTGATTCGTGTGAGTGTGATCCACTTGGATCCATCGATTCCACCTGTGATGTCGTGAGTGGACAATGCAAATGTAAACCGGGAGTCACCGGAAGGAGGTGAGAAAGTTTATAGTTTGTGCTCGCTTTCTACACCGCTTTCGTAGGTGTACCAGATGATGTGCGTTTGCAAGCACAAAGTGACCAAGTAATCTTTCAGATGTGACGAGTGTGCGCCTTATCACTTTGGTTTCTCAGCTGATGGATGTAAACCATGCGATTGTGAGCCGATTGGATCTGGTGAGGGATTTTAATAGGATATACGGATACTGGAAAGTCTCTTTCGTTACCCAGATCACTGATCGATAATTCAGAAAGTGCACAATGTGATGTGAAAAACGGTCAATGCTTGTGCAAGGACAATATCGAGGGACGACGCTGTGATCAGTGCTCAGAGAATCGGTGAGATTAGGAGAACGCTAAGAAAGCTAAAAGCTAAGAGCCAAGTGCATTTCTATGTACTTTTTGCTTTCTACACAGCTGTAATCTTTAGTTACAACTTGGAAGCCGGTTGTCTGCTTTGCGATGATTGCTACACTTTGATTCAATCACGAGTGAACATTTTCCGAGAGAAAGTCAAGAATCTTGACAATACTCTAAAGGAGATTATCGAGAATCCAGCACCAGTGAGTTTTAAGTAGTAGTTACAGTAGTTAGAGTAGGGTTTTGAGTAGTAGTTACAGTAGCTACAGTAGCTGCAGTAGCCTTTTAAGTAGTAGTTACAGCAGCCTTTTAAGTAGTACTTATAGTAGTTACATTAGTAGTTATTATTTCAGTAAAAGCTAAGGAATTGGCATTATTAGAAGGACAAACTAAAGCAAATAAAGCAAACAAAGCTACAATAGAACTATAACTCGTCTACAGTCGAGTAGAATAGCTAAAAACATATGAAAGAACATGAGTTACATATAGAAATTTCATCTCTAGGTCGACGATTCAGCTTTTGATGATAAAGTGAACGAGGTGGGCGCTCAAGTGACCGAATTGACAAATACGGTGATGAAGAAATTGGGTAAGTGCAATCTTTGTCAGTGAAATTCTAGCCAACAAAAAAAAAACCCTTCAACAATGTTATTTTATTAGATGAAGTTTTTCTGCTTACGCTAGTTAAGCTATAGTTAGCTATAGTTAAGCTATAGCTAAGTCTTGTGATTCAAAAATTGATTTTCATCATTGATTTCTAGAAGCTGATGACGCTCAATTGGTCAATCAAGTCTCTCAACTCAAAAAAGATGTTGAATCAGCGTTTGAGGGGATAAAAATGATCGATGGAGTGATTGATGGAGCAAAGGGGAAAACGGAAAGCACAGAGCAAGCGCTGAGAAGAGCAAAGATTGTTATGGGTATGTTAGGGAATGAATTTCGAAGAGATTAAACGACTTTTTTAGTCATCAAGACTATTTTCTTAGTTTCTACTTTCTTATCAAGTACTTTTTATTAAATTTCATTAAATAATTAAATTTCATTAAATAACGATGAATTTAAAGTGAAAAGATATGTTTTTTTGAATTTAGAAAGTGCACGAAACGAGCTAGAGAACGCTTTGCATTATCTTGACGTTGAAGGAAGTGAGCAATGGGAAAGAGCTAAGGAAGCGAGTCGAAAGTGAGCTTTATTTGATTAAGACCATAACAATCAGCTCAAATCGTTTTTTAGATACGGTGAACAATCAGCTCAAATGTCACAAATTGCACAGAAAACTCGTGAGGAAGCCGATCGACATGACAAGTTGAGTCTAGAAGTCGAAAAGCTAGCTGAAGAGGCTCTGGAAACGGCAAGGAAAGCTCAAAAAGAAGCACAAGATGCTATCTATGGAGGTGAGATTAGTTTTGGTTATTGTAATGTTTAAGAGAAGGTTTAGGTGAACAAATCTCAAAGCAAATTGATGAGATAAAGCAGAAACAGTCGGCAATTAATGGATCGTTGACGAGGACTCGGGAATTAGCTGATCAACAGAGGAAAGATGCTGCTGAAGCTAATCAGGTTGAGTAGGATGGGAAACTAATGATTCTATAGAGTGCAGTAGATAGACTAGTAGACTATGTAAGCTTAGCATAATCAAACAAAGCTACTACAAGAGTTTTGCTTACCTTAGCTTTCTTAGATTCTCGCTTGATCTGTTCTAGCCTTGGAAAGACTAATCTTTGTCCAGTCAAGCTTGAATCAAGCTTGAATCAAACTTGAATCAAGCTTCAACTTAGCTTATTAACTGGCTTTGAACTCGTTTAGCTCTCTAGAACACTTTTGATATGCTAAGCACTTCAGAAAATATAACTTTATCACTTTTCAGAGAGCTGCTGAAGCCTTAACAACAGTTGATGCATTGAAGCCACCAAATATCGATCCGAAAGAGGTTTTGAAAAATTCTAAAAAACCAATAGAAAGAATGACTTCCAGATTGATAAAATTGGAAAGAAAAATCTAGGGTTTCATTTAAAATTCTTGAAATTCATAGCTCAAACTCGAATCCGAGCGTATCACTGAAGAGGCCAAGACGACACGGGCAAATATTGATAAAGAAGTCGAAGGGAATAAGGAAATGATGGATGATGCGGCTAGAGCACTGGCTGAAGCGAATAACGAGTTGCAGAATGCAAAGGAGCAGCAAAAGGTGAGGGTTACTGTCGGGAGAGTACTGTAGTTTGTTGATTGTTAATCTAATTTGTGTAGAAGTTTAAAATTTTGTTTTCATTATTTCAAGTGCTTGCCAGAACTGTAGAAAAAAAGAAAAGAAAGTTGAAAAAGTGAGAGGCAAAGAAAATATCGAGTTGAAGTCTGATCATGGCTTTTTCTGGTTTGATCTTTGTGCTAGTTCGAAGATTCTTGCTTGATTCTCCCATCTGGGATGCAACTTAGATTTTCTGAGCTTTCTTGCTAAAGTTTTTCGAAATATCAAAAGTTTCCGTTCAGATCTCTGACGAGCAATTGGCTGAAGTTGATGCATCAAGAGCTAGAGCAACTGAAGCAATTCAACAAGCTGAATCAACACTGAAGGAAGCTGAAAGAACGTTGGCTACCCTGCAAGGTAAGCTAAGTCTTTACAGAATTTATACCAAGTTAATGCTATTCAGAATTCAATAACAAAGTGGAAACAAGCAAGGCATCGGCTGAGTCAGAATTGGCAAAAATCGGGGATATTCAAGCGGAAATCGAGAAAGCTAAGGAGAAAACAATGGAAGCCGAAAAAGCGATTGGTTCAGCAGCACAAGATGCTCAAAGGGCTAAGGTTGGTTACTCGGTTTAGTCAGCTAGTCAGCCAGCGGCACCGGCAGCAGCAGTCGGCTACTGCTGACGCTTACTGCACTGCTACGCTGACGCTTACTGCTACTGCTTACTGTTTACTGCTTACTGCTTACTGCGACTGCTGACTGCTGACTGCTTACTGCTTACTGTTTACTGCTTACTGTTTACTGCTTACTGCTTACTGCTTACTGTTTACTGCTTACTGTTTACTGCTTACTGCTTACTGCTTACTGTTTACTGCTTACCGCTTACTGCTTACTGCTTACTGCTTACTGCTTACTGCTGACTGCTGACTGCTTACTGCTTACCAGCTTACTGGTTACTGTTTACTGTTACTGTTTACTGCTTACTGCTTACTCCTTACTACTTACCAGCTTACTCTGAAATTTAGGATCTTGCTGCAAAATCTGGAGACGATGCAGCATCTGTTGGAAAACAAGCTGATCAGCTCTTCGAGGCGACAACGAAAACAAGAGAATCGGCAAAAACATTGAAAGAAGATGTGGAAAGTTTAACTTCCGAGTTGTTAACGACACAAGAAGAGATTACAACCTACAGGAATCAAGCGGAAACTGATAAGCAAATGACTGGAGAGGTGAGTGGAAGAGATGAACTATGATAGATGAACTTTTTATTCAAATTGCTTCATTCATAGTTTCTTGTCACAATATTAAGAGCTATACAGTAGGCCAACACTTTATCGTTTAAAAATGATACTTTTAAAAGATAGAGATTTTAAGTGTATCCCAAAACCACCAAAACAAAAGTCAGAAAGTTGAAAAAGTGAGATGAAACGAAAGTATTGAGTTAAAGTCTGATCATCGCTTTTTCTGCTTTGGTTTTTGAACTATTTCGAATATTCTTGCTTGATTGTCCCTTCTGGGATACAACTTAGATTTTAGATAACCTTAATAAGCTAACCATAATAAGCTAATCAAATCAAGTACCGTCGCTGGCCAGAAATCTCAGGCTCTTACGGTTTTAAAGTCACTTTTTACTAAAACAATTACTACAAGTAGCCGGGTTGTCTTAAGGAGAAGAAAGATCGAAGAATCTAAGATATCATTAAATCTATCATAGTATTTAGGCTGTTCGAAAAGCTTCTTTGGCTGAGATGGACGCTCGAACGGCCAACACGACAATCACCGAGGAAAGCGATCAAATCAAGAAGATTATCGACAAATTGAGTGTGTTTTAAATTCAATTTTTCGATTTTAGAGTCACTGTAACATTCACAAATTTGTTTACGCTTTACAGCTGAGTCACAAGTTAGTGCAGCTCAAGTCACTGGGATAGGCCAGCCGGTTAACTGGGTTTTTCAGAAAACGGACATCAACCGATTGATGCTAAAAATCAATTTCTAGATGCTCTCGAGAATGTGAACAACGCTGAGTTGGATGAGTTGGAGAGACAACTCAATGACATCGATGCGATGCTTAAAAAAGCCGATCTAGCAAATCAGATTCCCGCACAAAAAACGGGAAAAGTCGACGAAGAGCGCAAGATCTCGCAGATCAAAATCGACATCGATACGTTGACAAAAGAGGTGAGTTTTTGATTTGGATCATACAATATTCAACACTGGGTTTACTGTAGCTTTACTGTAGCTTTACTGTAGCTTTACTGTAGCTTACTGTAGCTTTACTGTAGCTTTACTGTAGCTTACTGTAGCTTTGATCCTCTGTTTCCAATACAAGACAGGATTACTGTACTTTAGCTATTAACATGAAAACAATGAAAACAAACAACAAACAACAAACAACAAACAAGAACAAGAACAAGAACAAGAACAAGAACAAGAACAAGAACAAGCACAAGAACAAGAACAAGAACAAGCACAAGAACAAGAACAAGAACAAGAACAAGAACAAGCACAAGAACAAGAACAACAAACAAACAAACACCAAACACCAATACTAAATAATCATTGTGGCTTCCAAAATATTGATTTCCAGGTGGCAAATCTCGAACAAATCCGTTCCGCGTTGCCAAATCGTTGCTTCAATCGGGTGGCGCTAGAGCAAGAGGGACAAAAGAAATAAAGGGAATTATTTCGCATTTTTCAAAAACATCAATTGAATATCTTTTCTTCACAACAAAAAAAACGTCTAGTATTCCGGAAATGATCTGATTGATTTTTGTAATTTTTTGTAATTTTTGTAATTTTTTGTAATTTTTTTGTTAATTTTTCTTTGATTTTCTTTTAAAACTGCCATATTGTCGTAATTGAAACAAATTTTTGGTGCCAATTTCTTTTACATATTTCTTCTAACAAACGTGGTATTTCTCGATTGTTTATCGTGCCTTTTTCAATTTTGTTTTTCAGAAAAATGAAAATCTCAATTCTCGATGCAATATCCCGTAAAAGTGACAGAAAAATATTGAAATTTCAAGTTAAATGGCTTTTTTGTGCTTAACTTTGCTTAATTTTGCTTAATTTTGCTTAAATTCGCTTAATTTTGCTGAATTTTGCTGAATTTGGCTTAATTTCGCTTAATTTTGCTTAATTTGGCTTAATTTGGCTTAATTTGGCTGAATTTGGCTTAATTTTGCTTAATTCCGCTTAATTTGGCTTAATTTTGCTGAATTTGGCTTAATTTTACTTAATTTTGCTGAATTTTGCTGACTTTTGCTTAATTTTGCTGAATTTGGCTTAATTTTACTTAATTTGGCTGAATTTTGCTTAATTTCGCTTAATTTTGCTTAATTTCGCTTAATTTTGCTGAATTTGGCTTAATTTTGCTTAATTTGGCTGAATTTTGCTTAATTTCGCTTAATTTCGCTTAATTTCGCTTAATTTCGCTTAATTTGGCTGAATTTGGCTTAATTTTGCTTAATTCCGCTTAATTTCGCTTAATTTCGCTTAATTCCGCTTAATTTTTGCTTAATTTTTGCTTAATTTTTGCTTAATTTTACATAAAAATTTCTGTTTTTATGTAAATTTTTGATTTTTCATTAATTTATTTATAATTTTTTCATAAAAATTGCATAAAAATAAAGCTTATTGACAAAAAAGTAGAAATCAATTGAACAATTCCACATATCTTTAAATCTCTATTCTAAAAACTTTAAACCTATTCAGTTGTCTTTTATCCAGCTAAAAGTCTGCAAAAGATTCAGATTTTGACCGCAATTTCAAAAAAATATTTTCAAGCAAGCAAGTTTATAGAAAAGCTCATTGACAAAACAAACAATTTTGAAATGCAAACAAAAACTCTCACTAGCAAGAACTGTAAATGTTGTGAGCTGTATATAAGCAGTGATAGCCAACTAAGAAATAGCTAAAGTTTCAGAAAATTCTGATTATTCAAAAAAAAAGATACAGTCATGGACAAAAGTCTTTTAACATTGGTTTTTAGAAGTTTGTTCTTTGTATATCTTGGTCCAAATCCGAGCAATTTGCAAAGGGTTAAAAGATTTAAAGAGCTTATTATCTCTAATTTTAACATTACAAAAAGATGGATTTAACAATTTATCAGATGTCATGAACTTTTTAATAAAACAAAAATTGGGCCAAAAATTGATTGACAAAAGTCTTTTAACATCACAGTTTCTTCGTGAAATTTTCTGTTTTTCCTATTGATTTCTGGTTGCTAACACTGATTTTTTAGATGCCCGGCGCCTACTTATCAACTCCGGACAAGGAGACAAGGAGAAAATCGTCGAAGCTCGAAAAAATGGAATGTCTAGAAAAGCCGTCGCTGAGCTCTTCCGCTGTACCGAAACAACTGTATCGCTTGTTGTCACCAGGGCCAAACTCGCGGGAAACGTTCATCGTGCCACAAAAAGTGGACGTCTACCAGTTACAACTTTACAAGAAGACAATGCGCTCGTTCTGGCCCACAAGAAGAACCCAAATCTGAATGCCTCTGATGGCGTGGCTATGGTGAAGCAACAAGGAGAATTTGTCTAGCTATTGCTTGCAATATTAGTACAGTAATGCTTACAGTAATGTTTCTACTTTAAAGGGTACGGTTATTTCTCTTCTATTCATTATTAGGCTGTAAAACAGTTGATTGAGCTTTTCAAAATGGAAGCTTAAACAAAGCTGCTTGCTTTTTCGTTGTAAAGTAAGCCATTAAGCAATTTACATTTTCTTTTTATAAATAATGTTTTCATGAATCATGAAACATCCAGATTGGACAAATTTAAAAAGATTATTGATCGATCAAATGAATTAGTTTAATGATTTCAAATGAAGTTTAATGATTTCAAATTATAAATAACATGGTTTTAATATTTTAATATAGTGAAAATTTGCAGCACATTTTCAGAATCACTCAACGATTCCACGAACTCCAAACGTTTGCACATGCATTTCACTGAAATCACCACCGTTTTCTACAGCCTTCTCCCGTCTTGAATTTTGCTTCGAATGCTTCTTAAAAAAGGAAAAAGCCTGGGGAGCACAAACGAATTTGAACCATGGGCCTTTCGGACTGCAGCCGAACGCTCGGCCACTGAGTTATACCGCCGGGTGTTTGTTAGGACAGGAAATGGGGTGTGGAAAAGAAACTGGCTCATGTAATCCCGGATCGGTTGCTTTGCATGCAGTCCCAAGTCCCAAAAAGTCCCGAGAAGTCCCAAAAAAGCTGAACGAGAATTGCATCAGCCGCTCTCTCAAACGGTAGTTCTTCTAGAAAAGGGATGATGTATTTTAGAAAACTTTGGGCGAAACAGACTCTACTATTTAAGGCTACTTTAAAAAGTGTATGAGTTAAATTCCCCTGAAGAAAGAGAGGCCAGGTGCGTTGTGGTGTAATGGTTAGCACATTTGCCAGGTAATCAAAAGGTCGCGGGTTCGAGTCCCGGCGGCGCACAAGTTTTGATCTGCCCTAGTTTCAACTTATGCTCTGGAAGATTTCTGTTTTTGTACACATGAGAGGAAATTGACTTAGATTTAAGTGTTACCGATGAATGGACAGTTCGGCTTTGATACAATTTCATTCGACATTTAATTGAAATAACGCAGAAAAACTAAGTACTCGATCAATCGCCATGTTGGGGTCAATTTTTGACCAATTTTTGACCCCGGAGCTAATCTAGGGCAAATCCTGTGTACAGAGTAGCTTTCCTCTCGTTTGAGTCTTATGACAAGAATTTTATGATCTACTTTTCTTATGAAAAGTCGAGTTAGTTCTCTTAGTTTTTTTTTCCTACCACTTTTTGCCCATCCTTCGCGTTCATTATTTTAGTGAGACGCTTTGCTATAATTGGTTTTAAATGTTGTAGTTTGTGATTGCTTTCCAGTGGATGTTTCGTACAGTTTTATTTTAGCACATGTCAACCTCATCTTTCAACTTCCTCGAAGAACTTCCCGATGTCGTCTTCTATGCGGTGTTGGAGAGACTGCCTGGACGGGTCATCGAAAAGTTAGCGACCCTTATCTTCTAATTTTAATCTTTGCTTTAGCACTGTTCGACTAATCTCAAGGGATTGCTACAGAAAGGTCGAGTTGCGCAGAGGGAGACTTCCTCGTGTTTATCTCGATCACCTTATTATTCGCGCAGGGAACAGGGTAAGATATTATTGGGTTTGTCACAAAAACATCGGTTTTAGTTTGGGTATAGAAGAGAGCCTAACGAGAGAGAAAGGCACTTTGACTATCACTTTGACTATGAAGAAACGATCGATCCAGCTGACTTGGTTCAACATTTGAATCATTTGAAAGAGCGTGCAACCTTCAAGACCCTCAAATTGGTTAGTTTTCCGTAAAATTTAATGGTACTTAAAATCAGTTTTTTAGGAGAATGTCAATTGGGCTTATGCTGCAAATAGCAATTTACAAATCGAATGCGAAGAATTGTATTGTTATGCCAGTTTGACGACTCTTTCGCCGGAAAGTTTCATGCATATTTTTTGCAGTATAAGACCAACACGCAAGCTAACGATTGGGGTAAGTTTGTATTGCACGAATCAAAATTAGGCTCATTAAGGCGAATGGGGACAACAAAATTTTTCCTGTGACGAGTGACTTTTTCACCAACAATCATTCGATTCGATTGCAAGAAGTTTCGTTTTTCGGTTACGGGAATGCCATGGTTGATCCATTAAAGGACACGGTTTGTTTTGATTTCGTCCTCAATGAACAACTTGTTACGACCCTTACTCCGGTTAATATTTATTGTTTAGATCTTGTTCTATTCAAATCTTTCGTTTTTTGACACTGATTTTCTAACAAGTCCCGGGTGCACTCTTGATGGGATTCTAACGATGCTCCGAGACTGGTACACTTCAGAGCGTCGAATTGATTATATTAACCTTCGAGCACGTGGCGAACATCAAAATGTGAGCTCTTTTAACTTTCTTATTTTGCTGAAAATAATTTGGATGCGGTTTTTAAAAGAGCTGCAAGATCGACTTAACTATTCTAGTCTAGATAGCCTAGATAATCATTAAAAGCAATTCAAAGCAATTGGTAATTTTCGAGATAAAATTGTTCAATTTTTAGTTCTGGCGCAATTTACGTCCATTGCTAGTTCGTAAAAGGTTCCACTGCGAGGATTACATCGAATCTATCCGCGCTTTGGAAAGAGCGAATGGGGAGGTCATTAAGCTTGATGTTTGCATTGATCATCTTGGCTATCTTTGGTATGTTTTAGCATGGGTTTTTTTTCTAACGTATGAAACTATTTATTACAAAATTGTTTTAGTATCGAAATGATTCGACTAGTGTCCGGCCCGAAAGCGGACTTATATAGGCGGTATGATGACGCTGGTGGTCATGACGATGATGACTGGATGATGACGTGGATTATGACCTGGTTTTTGACGTGAATTATTACGTGGATTAATGCACAGTGGATATTTATTCTCTATTTTGAATTAAAGCTGTATTTTGTTCTGTAAATTTGTGATGTATTTTAAAGCTTAAGTTTCGATGTTGGACGTGTGATCGCTCTTTCTTGGAAAGTATCTGCTACTACTAATGTCAAAATTTGAAACTTTTCTCACTGAATAAATCCTTCATGATTTCATTGTTCTTGGTGCTTTCCTTTAAGCCGAACTTGTTCAAGTTTTAAATAAACACTAATGAGTTTATGAAAATCGTACCAGTTTTCTTTCTTTCTAAAAGCTGCTCGGAAATTTCGGTATCGGTATTTTGAAAGCGACTAAACAACCCGGTCTACATGCCACGCACGATCCATTTCACCGCCTCAGAATCTCCCCAGTTTCCGTGTTCATTCTGATCAAACGGAACAAATGGGTTTTATCTTTCACAAGGCAACCAATAGTTCAACTGTGAAATGTTGTGAGCTGTATATAAGCATATGAAGCTTAACAAGCTCCGCCCATTAAACTCAAACATGAGTAAACTTGCTAAGTCCCGCCCCTGAAGCCTATATAAGCAGGCAAAGGCAAATCAAAAGAGCTTGGATTCAACAATAAACGAAATGCCAAGAAATATCAACGATTTGAAAGACTTTAACCTCTCCTTCTTACTCTTTCTTCCCGCCAATGGTTTCAACGAATGGCTCGTTGACATCGGCCTTCTTCACGGACTTACCTCGCAAAGCCGAAATGGTTGTCTACGACTGGCAAGGACAGAAGCCCAAATAAAAGTGCAACAAGAGCCGATGCCGTCAGTCCGATCGCAAGCACCGAATTGGGTACTTTGTCCTTTTTTCAGGATCTGACCTCGAGGCAAGCCTTCAAGTTCGTGTACTTGCACCTTCGCCGCTACGGCACTCACAAAATCATGGCCAAAGAACTACCCGTGGAAAGAGGTGCAATTCATTTACGTTTGCAAGCGTTGAAAAATCGTATTTCAAGAAAAAGTTGTCCTCCAACTCGTAAAGAAACGATCAAGAGTGCTCCAAGTGCAACAATCTCTTCAATTGCTGTTTCTCTACCGCCAATTCCTTATCTCCATTCATGCGTGAGTTGTTCAAAATAGAAAAAAATCAAGAATGAGTCAGCTAAGATGCTTCTGAATCACCAAAAATGCTACTTTAATTTCCAAATCCTTTCAGAAACTGATTGGTTGGATAGAAAAGTGAAAAAAATGGAAGATTGGGGTAACTTTTTGGCTAAAGAGTTGTGATCCCTTTGTGATCCAGTTGTGATTGAGCGTTGTGATCCAGTTGTGATCCCTTTGTGATCCAGTTGTGATTGAGAGTTGTGATCCAGTTGTGATCCCCTTGTGATCCAGTTGTGATTGAGAGTTGTGATCCAGTTGTGATCCCCTTGTGATCCAGTTGTGATTGAGAGTTGTGATCCAGCTTTCCCTTGTTCTTTCATGTATCCCATTTCTTCTATTTTCAATCTATCAACTCATCATGATAATCAATCATTTCCAAAAATGATTCCAACAATTCCACAATGATTCCAAAAAAACTCTTTATTGAATTGAATTAAAGAAAAGCTTGTAGCCCAGCTGTGGATCTTCAAAAATAAAGATTTCTTTGCAATCTTTCTTTGTTGGATTGCAACTTTGTGTCACATTTATCATTTTCTTTATTATCGGAATGATTGGTGGATTCGATCGAAGGAAATGATTTCTAGCAGCTTTCATGATTTATATAGTAAACAGTTTATCTATCTAATCGAGTTAATTCCAAGATAAATCATTATGTTCAGGAGGATCGAAGCAGTAATCTTGGCCACATCGGAGCTTCGAAGCAGATCGAAGCAGTAATCTTGAGCTCATCGCCAACTATCGAAGTCGAGCTGATTTTGATCTGAAGCTGAAGCAGCCATTTTGATGCTAATTTGTTTGATTCTCGCTTTCAATTACGAATTTACTATGTTCGTTTAAAAGCTTGTAGGGCGTTTAAAAGCCTGTAGCGCGTTTAAAAGCTTGTAGAGCATGTTATTAGAGAATCACAAATAAACGAGGTGATAACAAAATTTGTTATTTGAATTCCAGAGATTCGCGAGGTAAAAGGGGAGGAAAGACACTCAATAAATTGACCTTTGCAGAGTTTGATTTCTGTAAAAACTGCAATATGATCTCTTTTCTAGTGTAGTCTTGTACACAAACAATCAATATTAAATCAATTTATTCCCATAACAAATTCTGTGAAGCCGTTTTCCGTTTAATTTCCAGCTCTCGGAGTCCACACGTGGCCCGGCTCCGTCAATTTCACAAAGCCGTCCTGATTGACGAGAACACTATCGTTGCATCCAATCGGTTTACATGAGCAGCGAATGTTTCCGTCATCCGAAAAGATCGTGACGTACTTTTTTTCCGCGTGTCCTGGTTTGTACGGCTCCACATCACCGCTTCTCACTGCCGAGAAGCCAACGCTTTCCGCCACACGAATGATCTTCTTGGTTTCTGAAAGTTTGAAAGGACATTCAAAGAAATACGTTCGCATGTTTACGAGCAATTTAGAATATCTCTAAACTCTAAACTAAAATATCTCTAGGCTTTCACCTGAGTAGCCGAGTTTAGCTTTCTCCGATGCAAATTTGATTTCTTTGTTGATGACAACGGTTCGATCACAATCAACAAACACGAGGACACATTGTTTGTAGTCATTTGCCACGTGATTTATCCCCGGACAGGCGAAGCGTCCGCAGGCAGGCATCTGGTTCTAAATTTGCTACAAGTTTTGTGACTGATGCGCGGCTTTGTTTAAAGCAAATACGAAATATGGCAGAGAGAGAGAAAGAGAGAGAGAGAGAGAGAGAGAGAGACGTGTGCCCTATTGGACAGACATTGGACATTTGTCGATTTAATGTTGACAAAAACAGACTTGTTCAAGTTTACAAACATATTATGCCTAAAAAAATAAAGAAGAAAATCTTATCTTTTATAGAGAACAAATTATTGCGCCATAAAATAAAAGTTTACTGATAGCAAAATTGTGGCGAAACGAAACGATTAATCTTGCATCAAAATTTGATCTGCTTCAAAATCTTGCTTTGCTCAAACATTGCAATTATTTTTTGTACAATAGTTGTTCAGCAATGTTTCAGCAATGTTTGTACAATGGTTGTTCAGCAATGTTTCAGCAGTCAGAAAATTTCTAGAGAAAAAGATGAATACACTGGCCAAAGGGTCACTTCAAAAACAATTTTCAAGCTTAAAACAATTTTCAACGAAGCAACAATTTCAGGAAATTAAATATGCAAGGAAACCAAAACATTTCTAAAGATGAGGAACAAAAGGTATTCAAAAAGAAAGAATTTTTCAAGACTGCGTTCAGAGGGGAATTTGATAAGGATTGAGAAAAGGGATGAGTGAAACGCTGAGAGAGAAACTCACCATGGACCTCCGAAATTCCCAAAATTATCCCAAACAAATAGGACAAATTATTTGGACAGAAAAACGCAAGAACAAAATAACGATTATCGTAGAGTTCAATTTAATTATTGTTTTTTGTTTAGAATAGATCAAATGCGTTCCATATCCGAAGGTTTCATTACTAGAATTTGTGATGAATCAACTAGAGCTAGCCAAAGTCCTCAAAATTTTCAGTCAATTGTTGGGTTCGGATCAGAATGCCAATCTGAGGGTTGGTAGAGTCAGAACAACCTGAATGCCTTCCATATCCAAGGGTTTTATCACTAGAATTCGTATTCGTTGTGAGAATTTTTCGAGAATGGGCGATTTTTGGAGATATAACACATATTTTTAGCATTAACCAGTGCCTAGAACAAAATGATTGAAAAATGATGAAAAATCGTCTTTTTTTTGTTACTTTTCAATCATTTTGTTCTAAGCTCTGGTTAATGCTAAAAATTTGCGTTATATCTGAAAGAAAGCACCCATTCTCTACTTTGATTTGGTATCTAAGCGCGCAGAAACAAATGTCTAGGCGCCGAGCGGTTTTTTGAGTGTCAAGTTCTTCAATTTGAACCCTAAAACCCAAGTTTATCATGCAGCATTATCTACTATATATAAAGCAGAAGAGATGTCTGTATGTCCGTCTGTCTGTCTATCACAGGCACTTTTCTCGACTTTTTTTTCCAAAAACTGCAAAACTAGCCGAGCCCGATGTTGCCTAACTTCCGCTCCGCACGCAGATGGCCCAGATGGCCGCACGCAGATTATCGATTGGCACGACAACAAGGATTATAAATTTACGTAAGAGCTCAACCTGCTGCCGTTTTCAGCTGTGTTAGCAGCTAAAAACTGCTGGTATTTCTTATAAGCAAGCATAGATAACTGAATATAATATTAATTTGGCTTAAACATAAAGCTATTCAATTGAATTTTCAAAATTTTCTCCCAATTTTCATTTTCGAGAATTTTTCTGCAATTTTCCTCAACTTTACGCGTTTGGATTTCTTGTCATTTTAATCACATCCACTCATTCTCACTTTTATTTATGTACTTTATTTATTTCATGTACGCGACGCTCCTCTAGGGTCGCGTACATGACGTACGACGCGTACGACGCTACTATAACAGTCTCTACGGTTTGCAATGACTGATGCTGGACAATTTGAATCTCCAAGTGCGTATTACTTTTTGTTAACGCTAGCTATTCCACCACCACTCTTTAATGATGCCATTCTTTGCGCTTTTTTTGAAAAATGACGAGATTGCTTCAAGAATTGTCTAGATTTTCTTATTTTTAAGTCCCTTTATAGCTTGATTAGTTCGTTTAAGCATTTTAAAAACGTTTAAAAGGTTTGAACTTTTATAAAACCAAATTTAACCGAATAATTTCCCCGCCTTATCAGTGTTTTTCGTCTAAAAACGGATCACGAAAGATGTTTATATAATTTTCGCCATTCCTGGCGTAGTTATCACAAAATTGGCTCACTTTTCCGATTGTTTCTCACTCGTTTTTTGCAAGTTTTCATTGTTTTTACGGTTATTTTTTAATATTCTAATGTTTTGATTTTAGAATGACCTTTTTGGAAGCTGAGGACGATGATCAAAACGATGACGAGACGAGTTTCGAAGAAGAAAGAGATAATTTTTCTGACGATGATCTCGGTGCTATCAAAAGGCCACGAAGAACTGAGGTAAATGCTTGGAATTTGAGTCTTTATAGCAGTTTCTCTTTGTAGGCAAAACGTTAAACTATTTTTTGTTTAAAGCTTCTATTGGTTTGTAAAAATTGGGTAAAATTGAGAATTTTTAAGATTCCAAGATTGATTTGAATAGCAAAAGAACTTTATTTAGTCTTTTAAAGAGACAATCATGCTTTAAGGCGCTAACTGAATTCTAAGAGAATGTTGTTTTTAGGTGAGTGGATACTTGACGATGGAGCTCGAGATGGCCAATCAGTTGATCGTTCCATATAAAGGTAGTGATGTTTTAATAATAAAACCTTGCAAATATATTCAAACATATTAAATAGATTGAGCAACATCTTCGAAATAACAAAAAGATCAGTGATTTGGTGGTTGGGAGGGGTCACTTTTGACTTGGCGTCGAATCTGGTGTTTTGAGCGGTTCGTGTCGATACCTTTTTTTATTCCGGGATAATTATATATGCTGAAGCAATTGGTGCTAAATTAAGTACATATGAAATACTTTAAAATTAGCACCAATTGCTTCAGCATGTGTAATTACCCCGGAAGAGAAGAAAAGTATTGGCACGAATCTCTCAAAACACTAGATTCGACTAAGCAAACCAAAAGTGGCCCCTCCCAACCACCAAAGTATCAAAAGATCTCTTCTTTAACTTTCTTTTAGAATCGATGGTCTTCGAGGTTGACGATTATCACTTGCTGATCACATTACCACTTGACTTTATCAATGTATGTTTGCTTCATGGCTGGATTTTGTTACACTTTTTGTTTAGAAACGATTTCGCGAGTGGTGGGGACTATTGGATCCTTGTTTGCGAATTCGTTTGACCTTCAATCTTGCGAAATACCGTCTCGGCGATGTGCCTGAAGCAACAGCATCAATGCCATACACGAAAAGGAACATTGCAATGGGAGCCATTGAAACGGTTTGTTTTGTTGGATTTGATGTGGCTTAGGCTTAGGCTTAGACTTAGGCTTTAGAGGCAAAGCATTCTAACTTTGCCTCTAAAGCCTAAGCCTAAGTCCAAGCCTGAGCCTAAGTCCAAGTCTTAGCCTAAGCCTAAGCCTGAGCTTGCTCATTTTCAGTTCATCAAGGACGACTTGACGAAATATTGGAGTGTGAGAAGCGAAGATGAACAAATCGGTGATGACAGCTTTTTCGCGGCATTCATCGATCGGCTAGTTGCACGAATGAAAGAATTGGGAAAGTGAGTGATGCTTTTGGATTTGGACTTTTACCCCTGAAACACTGAAGTTAAATCCATCCAACAATCAGCAGCTAGATTCAGTAATAGATTTGATTTATGTTATGTATCAAATTGCTATGAAATGATAGATTTAAGCATTTGAAAAGATGAGATCCAAACTAGCAAATTGAATTAAACTATAAACAACTTTTTCTTAAGCTATTGCGTGCAGTGCACGATTCAACATTTGGGCGCTCATCCGCTGCTTTCTGTTTGCGATCACCCGCTTTGCTACTTTCAGAGAGATCGTTTAAGTACGTTTTTGAATCTGATGCTTTGTGAACTTTACATAATCTATTTCTTTAGGACAGACTTTCGAGTACTCCATGGGACCCCGTCTATGGGCCGATTCGGCACAATTGCTCAACTTTTTATTCTCTCAGGCGAATGGTTGTCACCGGCGAGCTCTAATTTGCAAGCCCGATCCGTTAGATGATATGAATCTCAAAGAAGAATTTCGGTAGTCTATTCACATTTTAATGTTGAATATCGTAAATT